CACCTGTCCCTCATTCTGCTCAAGCCCCTATGCCTTCCCAACAACTTGCCTTTAGCTCTGGGCAGATGTCCTTGCTTGCACTCATCACAGAGAACAGAAAGGCTCGCTGCTGTTTTGTGCTCATGCACATGCCTCTTCTCTGTCGTCACCTACTGTCCTCCAGGCTTGGAGGAAGAGGACCTAGCTCCCATCATAATGGGTTTCTTGTACGCTCTCCCTATCCCTCTGGATGCTATGCTAGCATTTTCCCTCCCCTACTCCTCCACCTCCAGATTTCATCTTTCTTTTCCTTTCCTGCAGAAATACGTGCCCAAGTTGTTCCCATCTTAAACACAGATACATGAAAAACAAGGATTTAAGTTTTCTCTATACCACATTTTCCTTTAGTTTATCCCTATGTTTTTTCCTTGATAAACAACTACATACCTTGAAAGAATAGTATGCAGCCCTTGTTTTCTTTCGTTAACTTTCCATTTCTTCTTTGGGCCCCTGGAACCAGGTTTCTACTCTCACTATTAAAGTCACTGGTTCCCTGGTTGCCAAATGTAAGGGCCTCTCTAGGCCTCATTTTACTTGACCTTTCTAAAATATTTAATGCTGGCCACTTTCGTCTTTATGAAATCCTGCTTTTGGTTTCTGGGATGTCACTCTCTGATATCCCTACCTTTGGTCCATTCCTTCTTCTTTGCTATCCTTCTTCCTCTGGCCACCCAGCTCTTAAATGCTGATCCTCCCTGACTATCTCCCTTTTGATGGTCTCATTTATCTGCATGGATTTAATGACCATATCTACACAGGTGATTCGGAAACCTGAATCCTCCACCCAGATCACTCCTTTGAGCTCTAAACCCACATAACACAATCCTTTTAACAATTCTACAAAATAGTACTGTTTCCCACATTTATAGATGAGGAAATTGAGGGTAAGACAGGTAACGTGTTTGAGATCAGTCCGTGGAAAAGCCAGGATTTTAACCTCTACCTAAAATCAGGCCTTTAACTCTATTAATCAAACATCTCCACCTGGTTATCTGACAGATCCATCAAATATATCATATCCTACACTGAATGCCATCTCATAATCCTGTTCTCCTTCCTTGCCTCAAAAAAAATTAGAAAATGTGAAAGCCTATATTTCAATCTCAGTGAATGACATTCCTTCTTTTCAGTTATACAAGTTGGAATGTAAAGGGAATTGACATAGACTTTTCTCTGTCTCCTACCCTGCAGGTCCATCTAGCCCAAGGGAATATCAGTTCTTGTGCATCTACTTTTTTAATGTGGCTTGTAATCATACCCTCCTCCTTATTCCCACTGCTACTGACATAGTTAAGAACTTTATCTTGACTGTTATTGCCATTATAGTGACAGTCTAACTCAGTGCAACTGGTTACAGGCAGAGCCCAGTGTCACAGTGACAGCCTAAGTCTCACATTATCTGAGCTGAAGAACCAGGGTTTATTGTTTTTGTTTTTTTAATTTTTAATCTGTTGCAGAGATTTTGTAGCATATAAAAATTACTTAGAAAAATGAAATGAAAAAAGACATACAAAATAGCTCAGTTTTAAACATTATTAAATTCAACACACATAAAAATTACTCTGTGAAATTGTCATAAAAGTTTTTGGGTACTAATAGTCTATGTATATCCTGTCCCAGATGGGTCACACTTTTGCACATTGGCACTGGTCCACAAACAACATTGAGGAGTGCTAGTTCCCAGTATCTAATGAAAAGAAATGTCTTCAGTTCTCTTAGATTATAACCACATGGGCCTATGTTATTTAAAACTGAAATATTTCAGCTAGAAGGTTCTTTGCTTTGGCTTATAGATAGCTTATGTATATGGATTTAAGAGGTTTTAGAAAATTCCCTGTTTCTTTAGGATCCCTTCTTTCAGTGGGAATAAATCCCATTGATCAAGGGGTAATCATGTGTTACATTACAATTTAATGCCAAAATCAAAGTGTACTGACTTAAGAATCAAATCAACATTTTCTTAAATAGGCTTGAAGTACCTTCATGGATCTTCATGGGATACCTGTAATAAAAGTGATTTTCCCTGATTTGATATATTTAACTTGATATGATTGTGCATACCAGAAACAAAAAAAAACCTGTGCTTCCATTGCGCAGTAAAATACAGCAAATGGGTTGATGTGATCTCCATTTCTGAAAGATTAAAATTCTACGTAGGTATTATTCTGACTGGGAGTGAAATAATAAAAGTAAGTTATTTGGATTTAGGCAGGCATCTGACTAAGCCCTTGTCAGAAGATTTGAATTAATGACATGCAGACAGGAGATGCCGAATGGTCAAACTGTGGAATATCTCTTGGCTTTAAATGTCTTGGCTGAAGAATAAAAAAAAACCCAGCAACAAAGTTATAAGGGGATGGAATTGAGAGATGGGAATGCTCTAAATATTAAGCTGAGATTGTACCTGGAGTTAGTTTAGAAATATCGTAAATAAAACCATACTGTGCAGAACCCATTGTTGTCTGTATTAGGCCTGACACAGAACAAAACACATGGGGCGAATGCCTGAGAGCATAATCTTCCCATGTGTGGTAAAGAAAAGTCAAAAAAGGCCTTTTTAGACATTTTTAAATTAAAAAAAAAAAAAATAAGCTAGTCTACAGCACTGTGCCAGGCACTGAAAAACTACTACAGAAACTTTCTAATCATTAAACGTTTTAAAAGCAATTTTAAAAAATTGAATACAGCAATATTTGCTCTGTTAATGAAGTGTAGGACCCCAAACACTATTAACTATCAAAACAAAACATACTTTTTTTTTTTTACAAGAAATTGGGGCACTATAGGAAGTTTAGGAGATTATATTCCCAAAAGCAGGATGTTAGAACCCTTCTTCTTTCATAGTAGATGGGTAGATGGCAGATTGCTAAACTCGTACCTAGAAAATGATTAAAAGTTTTATTCGAATAAAAATTTTAAAGTAGCATAACTTGTACAAAGTTCAGGTTGGAGAGGAGTCAGGAAAAGGCAACCTCATTGTGATCCATATGCTCCCCAAAGCAGAAATGGGTGAGGTGAAATGAAAAGAAAGTTTATTTTTTAAAGGTAATAAAAACAAAGGAAAAACAAAAAAGATAACTTCTCTTAATTTATGTTGTAGCAAGTTAAGCTGAGGTATGGAATACCAGGTATTCACCAGGTGGTTGGGCATGGGAAAGGGAGATGATGACACTGCAGGCAGAGGAAACAAAAGAAAAAAAGACATGTGGAGGATGGTGTGGAATAGCTGCCTGACCTGTGCTCAAAATAGTAAGCAGTTTGGGGTGGCCAGAGTATACTCAGGAATGGTATGGTTAGTGCTGGCTGGGATCTGACCATGGAAGATGCTTATACCAGTGCCTCTCAAACTTAAGTGCACCTGAGGATTTGTTAAAATTCGTACTCTAGGAGGAGACTTCAGAGGCTGCGTTTCTAACAAGCTGCAATGTGATGCAAATGCTGCAGGGTCACGGGCCACACTGAGCAGCAAAACTGCAAATGTTACCCTAATACTTATCAGTGATTGGTTTTATGGATGAAGAGTTGTCACCATTACAGTGTTTGTTGAATAGCACAAAATACATAGCATTTATCTTAAGCTAGATATTCAGTAGTTTTTTGTAAACTTTGCTCTCCTGATGGTGAAATAATACTCTTAGCAACTTCATTGCCAGGTATTAAATAAATAATTCAGGGCTCTCATCTTTTATTGAATTAGTTTGGGTAGAGGGATGCAATATAATAATGAAAAGAACGTAAACTTTTGAATCAGATTTTTAGACCTGGGCTTTAACATTAGTTTTATGACTAAAATAGCTGTGTGTATGACTTTATGAAAGTGAATTAATCTCTTTTGCTATTTTCTCATGTCTAAAATAGAATACTTGCCATTTTATAGGATTGTTGTAAGGGTTAGAAATGAGATGTATAAAGTGCCTTATAGGGAAGATTAGTGGAAGTTTCAATTTGATAATTTTTGAGATCCCTTAAAAACTAAAATTGTATGAATTTTAAATAAAGAAAATTCAATGATCTAATCCTAGGAAGTACTGATATATGGGGGATTATCTACCCTTCTACTTCTAGAGTCTTTTTTCTCAGTGATTTTGGCAAATCGGATGGTGTGGTTTGTTGTAGTTTGTAAAAGCTCCCACTGAGATCCACTAACACTCATGGTGTGCAGTATGGTTGTTTCCCATGGAAATATGTTGTACTACTGAAAGCCATGGAAGCATGAAAAACAGATTGAATTATAATTTTATCTGACTTTTATTGTTTTTTGGTCTTCTTAAAAATTATTTCTTGCTTATGGAAATTTCCTATGTAATTTGTTGCTTCCCATTTGCTGTGGGACAGAAACATTCCTCTTTCAGGGGAAAACAATAACCCATCCTGTTGCTTAGCCACACTCAGTCTTAGAGATGGGCATACCAGCTTGTGGTGCTCCCTAGGGAGAATGAGACTCAGGGACGAGACCCACAAGTACTTTGGAAGCAGGTCTGAGGCCTGCTGGACAGAAATTCTGGGATCCCAGTGCCCAGACATTAGAAGGGGAAGCATGGACTCTAGGTGGGCACATCCCTTTAATCCTACTAACTCCTGGCCTGGTGGGGACAGATGTAGTCAGAGGAACGCCAAAACAGGGCCCTCTCAAGGCCAGGGCAGGGTTCCATGTTGTGGGGCAGGAGTATATTAAGGAAATTACTATATTATCTCAGATATCTTTTTAAAAATATAATAGCCTATTTATTTAACTTTCTTGTTTCATAACTGATATACTTTTATTTATGTTTTGGTATTTAATGAATGACTCAATAATGGCATAAACATCTTATTTAATTCAGTAGCTCTAAGATGGAAATAAGTCTTAGTGACTGAAAAAAAATTCTTACTTTAAATGTGGTCTAGCTAGAAGACATGTTATTAATATTATGAGCTTTTTTTTTCTGACTCTGCTTTGTTTTTATGGTTTGGTTTTTTAGATCGGCTTCAGCTCCCCAGGAATATGATTGAAAACAGCATGTTTGAGGAAGAACCAGATGTGGTGGATTTAGCCAAAGAACCTTGTTTACATCCTCTAGAGCCTGATGAGGTGGAATATGAGCCCCGGGGTTCCCGACTGCTGGTGCGGGGTCTTGGTGAGCATGAGATGGACGAGGATGAAGAGGATTATGAGTCATCAGCCAAGTTGCTGGGCATGTCCTTCATGAATAGAAGCTCAGGCCTTCGGAACAGTGCAGCTGGTTATAGGCAGAGCCCAGATGGGGCTTGTTCAGTACCCTCTGCAAGGACCATGGTGGTCTGTGCTTTTGTCGTTGTGGTTGCTGCTTCTGTAATCATGGTGATTTACTTACTACCCAGATGTACCTTTACCAAAGAAGGCTGCCATAAAAAAAACCAATCGATTGGACTAATTCAGCCAATTGCAACAAATGGGAAATTGTTTCCATGGGCACAAATCAGGCTTCCCACTGCCATTGTGCCACTACGCTATGAACTCAACCTACACCCGAACCTAACCTCGATGACATTCAGGGGTTCTGTGACAATTTCGGTTCAGGCTCTTCAGGTCACATGGAATATCATTCTTCATAGCACAGGTCATAATATTTCAAGAGTGACCTTTATGTCAGCAGTTTCAAGCCAAGAAAAACAAGTTGAGATCCTGGAATATCCATATCATGAACAGATCGCGATTGTTGCCCCTGAAGCCCTTCTAGCAGGGCACAATTATACGTTGAAGATAGAGTTCTCGGCAAATATATCTAGTTCTTACTATGGGTTTTATGGCTTCTCCTACACAGATGAAAGTAATGAGAAAAAGTATGTAGCCCTCTTAAATGATTCTGGTTTTACGTTCTGGTAACTTCTGCAATATAGATCCCTTTGCCCACACCAGAGACACGAATTGTGATTTTTTTTTTTTTAATTTAGAAAGTTATATACAAAATAGTAGAATGGTGATTTAGAAGAATATATTATCTCTCTTAGTCAAAGCCTTGAGCATATATCATGGTGGGGTGGAGATAGGGGTGTGCTGGTAGAAAAGGATGGATAAAGATTATATCCCAAAAAACTTGTTATCTTGAGGTTTTCACTTTTTTTTTTTTTTTTTTTGAGACGGAGTCTTGCTGTGTTGCCCAGGCTGAAGTGCAGTGGCCGGATCTCAGCTCACTGCAAGCTCCGCCTCCCGGGTTTACGCCATTCTCCTGCCTCAGCCTCCCGAGTAGCTGGGACTACAGGCGTCCGCCACCTCGCCCGGCTAGTTTTTTGTATTTTTTTAGTAGAGAGGGGGTTTCACCGTGTTAGCCAGGATGGTCTTGATCTCCTGACCTCGTGATCCGCCCGTCTCGGCCTCCCAAAGTGCTGGGATTACAGGCTTGAGCCACCGCGCCATTTTTAAGATGAATCTAGTTTTCTGTCACCTCATGAAGTCTGTTGGGAAGCAGAGTAAAGAGTATGAATTATTCTTTAAGACCTATTTTCCTAATGTGCAGAACTTTTAGGAGGTACTTAGTGAAATACAGAAAGAGGACATGAAGTGTGAAGTGTGATGTGCTTACATATATCATTTTTAATATCCTTAATCTTTACTGGTTTATTATTTTTTAAATGTCAGTCTATTTTGGATTTCTGGTGGAAATTTTTTTTAAGGTCTAGGAGAGACTTAATTTGGTTCAGAAAAAAAGGTGAGACAAAATATAAAATTATTCAGCTCCCTATTTGGACTATATGTTTAGTACTTTAATCTTAGCATTCATAGCATGTAGTTTAAAATTCTGGGAAGATGGAGTTCACACAGTATGGAGGTTATTCTTAAGTAGCAGTGATACCAGTTGTCTTGTGCACAAAGTCCTCACTACATCTGCTTTATGCAATTGGATCATTCTCTCAATATTACTCTGTAAAACAGTATGTGAATTACTGATGCTGACCATTTGGCTAATGTATGTTGACATGTTAAGAGAAATAGTTAGAAATGAGTATTCTACATCTAAAGGAAACTTTTTGATCCTTCTTAAATGGAGAAAGAGACAAAGCAAGATCCATAATTCTATTCAGATAAATATTTTTTATTTTATTTTCCCTCTATGTAATACTTTTAAAATAAGTGGCATACTGGCCTTGCATTTCAATTCTTGCATAAGATCTAGCATTAAACACAAATGTATAATTGCAATGGGAACTTGAAAGTTCTTGCCTTTAGTTCTCCTTCTATAATGCCTATTATCCCCAGGAAATGTAAGATATACATAAAAACAATGTTCTTAGTATGCAAACAGACTTTTAGGACATTGATCCTGGAATCCTTGTACCCGTTAACTATTTAATGGGAGGAATAAATGTAGCAGAGTAAGGTGATTTTTGGTATGGCCACTTGTTGACTCTTGCCATGGGCTGGATTGAGTTGTGGAAAATGTCGGAAAAATGGAATATGTTTCTTTAAAATTAAGAGTATTATAAAACAGTATTTTATAACCTATTAAAATAAATGAGTTAGTGAAACTCTGCTATTCAAAACAAAATAAAAGTTTCAGTAAAATGAATCCCCTACATGATAGTACATCCTGATTCCAGGTAAATGTTTAGATTATTTATACCTTTCAAGATGTCTGAAAACTGTAATTCAAAGCTTTTTTTTTGGTCTTTCTCTCTTTTAATTTTGCTTAGTTCTGTTAGAGAAGCTTTTATACATTTTTCTTCTCTGAGGTATGATTAGAATACATGTTTATACTGGTAGATAAAGTAAGGGATATATTTCTTGTTGATTGGAAAACTATTGTATGTAAATGTCAGACACCTTGCATAGACACTGCTTGTTGTAAGGGAACTTTACCTTTTTTACCCATGTGATCTAAGAGATAGAGACAATCAGTAACCTTGGAGTTAAATCTAGAAGTTGTTTATGATAGGCTTAAAGTCCTAGATAACAAACTGATACTAAGAACTAGTAAACAAATTCAGGATAGGGATGTGTTTCAGCAGTTCCTCATTTCTAACAGGATTTAATTCAAGACGGTTTTTGATCTGGCCCTTGTTTTTCTTTCTCGCAGTTCTCACCTGCCATGGTGAACTTTCTGATGATAATAATGGCCAGTATTCACCTGGAACTGAAGGGCTGGAAACTGTTGCAGGCATCTCACATGTTGAGTCTTTTGTTCTGTCAAACTCACTAAGAGATAGATATTAACATTATATTCATTTTACAGCTAAGGGAGCAGAGGCACATAAAGTAACTTATCCAGCATCTCATGGCAAGCAGGTAGCAGAGGGAGAACTCAAACCCAAGGTCATTTTAACTACAGAAGCCACATTCTTCACCACCGTGGTGCACTGCCTCTCTAGTTCATACTTGCTTTCCTTTGTACATTGTTATCCCCAGTGCTTAAAATTCTCTTATCCCCAGTTAATTTGTAATTGCCTTGAACACTACTTGATAAAGTGTTGAACTTCAGTATTTCAGAAAGGAAATATACTCTCCAGTGAAAGAATAAGCTTCAAGTTATTCAGCATAGATAGAACAGATAGATTATAAGTATTATCAAGCAACAGCCTTCTCAAAGGGATTTTTATGTGAGACAGTTATGATTGGATCTCTTAACAGTTTAAGGTTTTATTTGCGTTAGTGTGTTATGATCTAATTTTTATCCAAAAGTGGTGGGTCTCTCTTGTATGAATAGTAGGGATAACATCAAACTTTATTCCCTGGTCCCTTATGCTTCTCTTCCAAAATCTTCTGTTAACTAGATAAGAATGTTGGGGGTGGGTTGAAGAAATGAAATGTTAGAAACATAATATGTGTAAATTGTTTCATATATGTTGATTGCTACCTTTCTTGCAGTTTACCCAATCCAATAGCAACAGTTATTTGGGGACACATCCTTAACAGAAAAAAAGCAAAAACAAAACAAAACAAAAACAAAAAAGTACACTAATTTTAAGTGTGGAAGAAGTTAGGACTATTTTGCATTTGTAATAAATATCTATTAGGGACCATACGATATGCAAGTAGTTTTTATTATAAATAGTTTCAGTTGATTCTAACAAAAATCCTAGTATTTAGGACCATATGGTATACAAGTAGTTTTTATTATAAATGGTTTTATTTGATTCTAACAAAAACCCTGGTATTCGGCAGTGGATTCTATCTCAGTCCTAATTTAACTAATAAGGACATTGAAATGTACGAGATGTAGGATACTGATCTGCCCAAAGTCATGTGGTTAGTAAATTATAGAGTCTGGGTCATCTGACTCCAAATCTCATACTCTTTCTTTTCTCCTTATCTTCTAGTAGTGGAAACTAAGCCTGAAATAAGAGAAGCTACCACCTCCAAAGTGGTGGTTGTATATGTGCTATATTAATTGGTACCTGAAACATGCACACCAGGGCCATATTTGCCAGGATTATAGCCACATTGGGATGCTCTCCCAAATTCAGATCTGTGTTATTCTTTTACTTAACCGAAAATCTACATTTCTCCTTGTTTCTTTTTATGCTTTTCCACCAACCTATAATCAAGGACTTTTTTTCTTTTTCCTTGAGACAGCATCTTGCTCTGTCGCCCAGGTTGGAGTGCAGTAGTACAATATCGGCTCACTGCAGTCTCTGCCTCCCAGGTTCAAGCGATTCTCTTGCCTCTGCCTCCTGAGTAGCTGGGATTACAGGCATGTGTCACCATGCCTGGCTAATTTTTATATTTTTAGTAGAGATGAGGTTTCACCATGTTGGCCAGGCTGGTCTCAAACTCCTGACCTCAAGTGATCCGCCCACCTTGGCCTGCCAAAGTGCTGGGATTACAGGCATGAGCCACCTGGCCCGGACTGTAATTGAAGATTTTTCTGTGTGTCATATTCTCAACTGTTGCTGGTGTGCTATAGAAAGAGGAGGAAATTTCTTTTAATCTCTGAGGAGTGTAAAGGAAACAAAAATACTACAGGACACCTAATGTTTTCAGTCTTCCTGAAAATGCAAGCTGTGAATTTGAGGTTTAGTGTTGTGAAGCCAGAGTCTGTACAGATAATTCACAGCAATTAATGACCACCCTTCTTAATAATCTTCCATCAGAAACCTTTTTAAGACCTCAGTGCCCAGTTGCAGCCTACCGTTGTGGCTTCATCTCCAGCCACACTGGGCAGCCACCCCCAGTTTCTGCACGTGCACTGCTGTCTTGTGTTCCCAGACCAAACTGAGGGTCAGGCTGCTATTTTTTGCTGCCCAATAATGAGATACAGATGAATTGGGAAGAGACCTTTTATTTCTATAACCAATTATACAGGGAGAAGGCCTGGAAATTATTGCCAGGCCAACTCAAAATTACAAAGTTTTCCAGAGTTTATATACCTTCTAAACTATATGTTTACATGTAAGTGTGCATTTATCTAAAGACATAAGTGATTAATTTCTTTTAATCCATAACTAAGGTCTGAGTCTTGAAGACCTTCCTCTGGAGACTCAGTAAATTTACTTAATCTAAATGGGTCCAGGTGCTGGGGTGATTACCCTTATCTTGTCTCCTGCTAACCACGGAGTTTTGGGGAGTTCCTTCAGACCTCCAGTAATTGTCTGTGGAGGCCTGGGGAGTTTTCTTCAGACCCTCCAATAAGATGTATTTAATCCTAAATGGGTCATGTTAAGAATTCCTTCATTATTTTGTCATGCTTTAAGATCCAGGCAAAACTCTTGGTGGGCTTTTGTTAAATTCCAGCCTTTGTATAAGGGCACTGGCTTTTAATATTTAACTTAACCCACTCAGCCAGTACTGAAACAGTTGTTATGGAGGCCTGCGTTAGTGAGACCTGGCTTGCCACACTTGTGTTAATCACTCTTTCCAGAGTATACTTTTTTCCCTTCTTCACCTTTTCAAATACTCATCTTTTTAGGCCCTCTTTGGGTTTTGTACAAGTTTCCTTATAATATCTTCTACCTCTAGTCAGAATTTGTTTCCTTCCCTTTGTTCCCACTGCTTTATTTTCATTGTTAGGACATGATTTACAGCCTGATGTAAGTTTCTGTTCATTGTATATACATCTGCCTTTCCCAGTTTATTGCAGATCCTTTAATGACTAGGATTGTAACATATTTTAGTATACTTGGCAGGGTGCCTTGTACAGTAGGTGCTCAGTAACTACTAGATTGAATTTGTGTTTGTTTTAGGTACTTTGCAGCAACTCAGTTTGAACCCCTGGCAACAAGATCTGCTTTTCCTTGTTTTGACGAACCAGCATTTAAAGCCACTTTTATCATCAGGATCATAAGGGATGAGCAATACACTGCTTTATCAAATATGCCTAAGGTACCGTTCTATTCCTTGAATATAAAATCTTTGAATGGGTCTCTTTCTTTAAGAACACGTAAATTCCTCTTTGCCAGACTACAGTTGAGAATGATTAAAATCATATACATTAATATTCTTCCTTAAAATACTTAAATAAAAATTAAAATATATTGGCATCAGTTGGGAAGTCACCTTGAGGAGGACTTGAGGAAAGAGAAAGACCTGCTGAACTTGGAATGTGTGGGTAGGAAATGTGAGTGTGCATTGTGTATTAAGTTGTGCAAATATTAATACAATGAACTCACAAGATTAGAGTAATATTTTCTGAGACAGGATGAATTTGCTATTCTAAACAGTGTTATTTGAGAGTGTTGAATAATAACTGGTTTTGGTATTTTCTTGGTAAATGAAAAACCAATATTGCTATAATTTGGAGATTGACAAAAAGAACAGGAGCCTCTTTCTTAGATGTTAACTCTGTGTGGGATGCAGTGAGGGTGAAACCAGTAATTGTTTTTATGCCAAACAAAACCTGGAACCTAGGGGGTTCTTTTTTTTTTTTTTTTTTTCTTTTTTTTGGTCTTGGACACCTGAGGGGCTGTGCAGCTTGATAAGAGCCTCCTGGACCCATGTGGCTAAGGGAGAGGAGCAGCAGCCGTACCCAGCAGGCTATGGGGCCAATCTTGTAGGCAACAGAGAGCATAATCTATAACAAGACAGCACTGTACCAGCTCACTCTTCACACTCAGCCATACTCTTCACCTTCATCTTTCTCTAAAGAGGCAGATGCCTACTTTAATTTGTGGTTGGAAAATTCTGTAAGCTTGCCTGCATTCCCTCATTTTGTGTCTGCTGCTGACTTCTCTAATGACTTGCTATTGATTTTGTTCCCACTAAGCTTTCTTGGGGATCCTCAACATGGCACTCCATGAAGCCACTTCAGATCATTTGAAGGGATGTCACAGCTAGAGCTCCTTCTTCTGTGGATGTATTTGTAGTAGTAGAGTGGAGCAATCCCAGGTCATAAGGAAGGATTTTGGTTTTGAAGGTGTTTCAATGGGAGAAGCAGAACCACCGTGACTACCTCTAACTTAACATTTATTTAGTCATCTTTGGGACTGAAAAATCCTTCAGGATTTTCACTGTGTTCCGTATGTCCTCAGGATGAAGGATGGTACAACAGACTGACACTAAGAGCCATGTTCTTTGCAGAAATTCATACTGAGAGGTTATAATATGCTAGCATGTTTACCACTTATTTCCTATTTGAATTTTCAGTTTCTCTGTTTGTTTGTTATTGCCATTTATTCCTATAGTTACAGAACTGTCTTTTCCCCTCTGCTTGTAGAAGTCATCAGTCGTTCTAGAAGATGGACTTGTTCAGGATGAGTTTTCTGAGAGTGTGAAGATGAGCACTTACCTGGTTGCTTTCATTGTGGGAGAGATGAAGAACCTGAGTCAGGACATAAATGGAACCCTGGTATGTCGATGTGGTAATTGTCCGAAAGCCTGTGTCATAAGAGGTTCAGAGGAACTCTTGCTTTAATGATTCCTGGTGTTTGCTGTATGCAATAAATAAGCTTTTAGATCACACTCTGACATTTTATATCAGAAATACTACTTTTTTGCTTAGCTGTTATTTACTGTTACTAATACCTGAAAGTCAATAATTTTCAAGTTTTAAAAAATTTTACTTTTAAAGAGAATTTTAGTAAGATACTGTATGTATACTAAAGCTTTTCGAACTGAGTGATGGCCACTAGCCTTAGGGGAATATTTAGATTTAAATTAATTAAAATTAAATACAATTTAAAATTCACTTCCTCAGTCTCACTAACTATATTTCAAGTGTTCCGCAGTGTTCATGTGACTAGTGGCTACATATTCCATAGCTCTAGGTTGTAAAAATTAGATGAATCCTCCCTTTTTTCAAAGCAAATCCTGATGAGATTCCTCATCCTAATGAATAAGTTTGTTTATTTAGTTAAGGGTATGGTTTATCTGTATTTTGCCAAAATTGATGATTTGTTCTAATTAGACTCTTTTGTTTTTCTTTGTCATTAGTACCTGTTTGTAAATGATTGTTTGATTGAATTTTATACTTTGATTTCACAGTAGACACCTAATAAAGTTAATTTTTTCAAATACAACATAGAAGGAGAAAAGACATTCTATCATATTTATTAAACTAAAAATAATTATTCTTTATGACAGAAATATGATAGAATGTCTTAGTTTCTGTTTTCATATTTTTGAGCTCTACCAGGGAATATCCTGCTAGTTTTGGGTTTCCTTTCTAGACTAAAGAGCTTTATATTAATCACAGGATCCTTGGATCTTATCATTTTGCTACTTCAAAAGGGTGTATCTTTCCTTTTAGAAAAGACTATCATGTCATGTCTATCCCATACCTCTCAGAGATAAGGGCAGAGATAAGGATTCTCTGGCGATTTATCAGCAATAATACTGTATGCCTTTAATGACACTACTCAAAAAGTAAACTAAGTGTTTAATGGTAAATGTAGACTATAATATTAAGTGCTAAATAATGGTTCACTCACCTTTGGATTGAAAGACTTTATGTCAAGGATTTTTCAGAATCCTTTCAAAAGGATATTATGACTGGTTTAAATCTGAAATAATTCAGTTAATTCCACTTCTGGTGTTGCACCACATATTTAGCCTTTGTTTTAGAGTTTGCAGCTTCGATAAAGCCTAAGAAGCCCAATCTAAAAGAGCCAGGTTTGCTGCTGCTTCAAGAGTCAGCTGAACACTACCTTCTCCTTGAAGCATTTCTTTCTTACCCCAGCTGGAATTAATCATTCCCTCTCTGATCTTTCGTAGCACTTTAATTATCTCTTTTTTGTAGTTCTTATACACATTGGTATAAAACCCCCAGCACTTTTTATGTAGCCCAAAATGTATGCAGTCTTGGCATTTTCCCACTTTCTTTTCTTCCTTCCTCTTCACTCTCTCTCTTCCTTTTTCTCTCTTTCTCTCGTCTGTTGTGTTTGCTTCACACTACCTGTAGGATTACATTCAGATTCATCATTTGATACTCAAGGCCTTCCTTATAAATTCAGCTATATTTCTTTTCTTGTTTAAAATTTATTTTTCCCTTTAAAAAATTTTTTCCACCCATCTGCACCCTGATCTTTCTTTTTTCTTTTTCTTTTCTTTTCTTTTTTTTTTTTTTGAGACAGAGCCTCACACTGTTGCCTGGGCTGGAGTACAGATGACACAATTTCAGTTCACTGCAACCTCCACCTCCCAGGTTCAAGCAATTCTCCTGCCTCAGCCTCCCTAGCAGCTGGGATTACAGGCACCCTCCACCATGCCCGGGTAATTTTTTTGTATTTTTAATAGAGACGAGGTTTCACTATTTGGTCTACATGGTCTCGAACTCCTGACCTCGTGATCTGCCTGCCTGTGCCTCCCAAAGTGCTGGGATCTTTTTTTAAAATTTTTTAGTGACAGGGTCTCACTCTGCCACCCAGGCTGGAGTACGTGATGCAGTCATAGCTCACCATAACATTAAAGTTCTGGGCTCAAGTGATTCTCTCCCAAGTCGCTGGGACTACAGACAGGAACCTGCTACCATACCTAGCTAGGTGTTTTGTTTTGTTTTTTAATTTTTTGTAGAGACATCTTGCTATGTTGCCCAGGCCAGCTTGGAACTCCTGGGCTCAAGCAGTCCTCCTGCCTTAACCTCCCAAAGTTCTGGGATTACAGGTTTAAACCATACTTCTGGCAAATTCAGCTATATTTCTAATTGCCTCGTTGTGAATTCTTTCATCTAGGCAAGCTGAATTATTCATTGCCGACATACATACTGCATTCTCATAAATGTGTGTGCATGTGCATGCTTGTGTGTATGTGTGTGCAAAGAGAAAGAGAGAAGTTTCAGGTGACTATTTTTTGTTTTTTGCTTTTTATTTACCTGTATTAGGAAACAACATGGTTAAACATAGACTCTGGAGTCTAATTGGGTTGACATCCCTCCTAGACAGCTTACTAGCTATGGACCCTTAAGTAGACTGCTCTCATCCTTTCTCAGTATGTATATATATGCACACATATATACACACATATATACAGACATATATACACACATATACATATGCATATATGCATGGATAGAGTGCATACTTCATTTTTACCATATGAAAATATAAAATTGTTGCATGTGAGTAAATATCTACATTATTTTTAATACCCAGAAGTAAATGTTTTGAAAATATTAACATTATACAAATAAATAATAGTTTTATTAATTTATTGCCTTTTTATCAGGAAATGGGGAGGAATGTGACATGCATGGAGTCATACTCTGTGCTGGCAGCTGTTCTAGGCACTCATTTATAAACATTTTTTCATTTTATAAGCCAAATAAGGGGAAGATACGTATTAGACCCACATTGCTGATGAGGAAACAGTGTCTCAAAGGAGTTAAGTAGTTGACCTAAGATTACATAATCAGTAAGTGATAGTCAAAATTGTTTTGTTCACCACAATATGCTGCTGCCTACACCAAATGACATAAGTAACTTCTGCTGTTTATGTTGGGTATGGTGACCAGAAATTTAAAACTTGGAGTCTAACAAAGGACTAGACTTTTAGATATGTTGATAGATTTTGTTATGCTAAAATCTCTAGGATGGCTTCTATTTTGTAATATTTGATGGGTAGGTTCAGAAATAAGGCAGTATTCAGAAACAAGTCTCAATAGAGCTTTACTTACTAAAGTCAATATTGCTCACCAACTAAAAGTTTCAAAGTTGACTATAGATTATTACATGTGTTCTCTTCAGTGTTAAATACTGCATTGTTGTCAAAGACCTAAAAAAAGAGGAACATGTATTTCATCATTTCTGTTCATTCTTCATTCTGTAAACTTCCCCCTGCCTTCAGAAATACCAGAATTACCTAGACAATTCTAGGCCAGTTGTGAAATACAATGCCTACTTTTGTTTGCCACTGCCTGCTTTTGTTTTTACTGTAGACAGGCATAACATGTAGAATCAGAATCTAGTCATGGTTAGTCAGGTGTGGACACCACATCTGACATTGAGCATTCAAATAGAAACTTCACCAGTATCATCCATGTGAAGTTATAATTTTAATTTATTCACGTTTAGTCAGAAACATGACTACATGACTTTGTTCCAAATTTCCTCTAAAAACATTTCTTCCTCAACTATCTTCCACCAGCCTGGAACATTGTACACAATTTATGTCATTCTCCTAAAGCCATCTAACCAGTTATTCTGAATAGACTTAACTGTTTTTGTGGGGGAGAGGGGTGGAATTTCTGCTTTTATGCGTGTCCAGTTATCTGTTGAGGAAGACTGTTGTTTTTCAGAAAATTTAGTATTGAAGCTTCTAATATTTTCTGCCTTTATAAATCTTGCAGACCATATTATTGTCCCTTTTGAAAGTATGAGGTTTTGTTCTATTTTTGCTTTTGTTAATTAGTTTTTGTTTTTATTAAATTAAGAAACAAATAAGTTAAACTTAAATCTGTTATTGCTTAATGTTAACCTTCTTCTTTGAGAGCTGATCAGGGATCTTTCTAGTTGTGTTTTTAGAAATCTCCTATAAGATCTTTGAAAGAGATCTAGCAAGAAAGAGATCTGGCAAGTTGTAAGTTTTAAGGCCTGAGTGCTGACTGACTTTTATTTAACAATGTTTACAGTTCTCTTACCAAGTCCAGAATGCTGTTCAAGACTTTCTTTGTTGAGCTAGGTTGCTCTCTCTATTTCTTACTGCATCTGTTGCTCTTAGAGAAGCTTGGTAATAATTATAATGACCAGATTATTTATCTCTAGTAAGAACTCATTGCAGATGTTCTTTTAAGGAAAAGAAAAAGAGGTAGAAAGGAAGAGAAAGTATTTAAAACTACATTTTTTCCTAATCATTGTATTCCAGAGATAGGAATAAGTGGACCCTTTGGTCAAAGTTCAGTTTCGTGTGAACTTTTTCTCCTGACTTGTCCTCTAAGGAAAGGTGCACAGTGATGGGAGTTGCCAAATGGTGTGTGTGATAGAAGAATGTTTTAGAGTAATCTGGAGGTATGGGTGATGTTTCTGTTGGGATACCATCTTCTAGATGATTTAGGCAACTATAACACAAGATATGTTTGTCTGCAAAGAATAGGTACAGCTAATAAAGACTTGTCTTAAATTCCAGTGATCTTGATACAGTTATTTATAATGATAGCTGGAGATTTAAAAATTGTATGTCAGGCGCACGTGTGTGCATGTGTGTGTGTGTGTGTGTGTATACTAAAACTGACTTCTGTTGGAGAAAGATGCAGGAAATGCAGTAAGTAGGATCAGCTTGTAGGCGTGACTGAATTCAGTAAGTTGTGGTCACGGTCCTGTATCGGGGGCTTCAGGTGGTAGAAGGCTGGGCTAATGAAGTACGGATGGCCCCATAATATGGGAGAATAAATTTCTTCCCTCATTACTTTAGAAAGCAACATATTTTTAATTGGTTAACTCCAGTTCTATAGATACAATTCGTCCAGTAACTGTAACCACAGATACTCTGTTCACACATATTTTGCCTCAATTCTGATGGGAGTCTATTTGTAATAACAGTAATAACTACCATTTATTGAACACTTAGACATTGTGTCATGCACTAATCTAAGTTCTATACATGTATTAGCTTAGTTAATCCTCACAGCAGTTCTGTGAAAGTAGGAGCCACTTTTATCACCATTGTATGGATAAGGAAAGTAAGGTTTAACTAGCCTGCTCAAGGTCATACAGATAGCAGAGATCTGAACCCCAGCACTGTAAATACAGAGCCTATATATTTCATTTTTTGTTCATTTACTTAAACGTTCTATATTGTTTAACTTTTAAGCCACCTCCATATTTCTGTGATGAATGCATATGTTCTATAGACTGAAGCCTCACATAAAGACAATATGGTTGAAACCCATTTGACCTCTTAGAAATTGTTGATGGTTTTTTGCTTTATTTTAATAGGTTTTTGGGGAACAGGTAGTGTTTGGCTACATGAATAAGTTCTTTAGTGGTGATTTCTGAGATTTTGGTGCACCCATCACCCAAGCGGTGTACACTGTACCCAGTGTGTAATCTTTTATCCCTCACCCCCCTCCCACCCTTTCCTCCATGTTCCCAAAGTCCGTTGTATCATTCTTATGCCTTTGCATCCTCATAGCTTAGCTCCCACTTATGAGTGAGAACATACATACAATGTCTGATTTTCCATTCCTGAGTTACTTTACTTAGAATAATGGTCTCCAATTCCAACCAGATTGCTGCGATTGCCATTATTTCATTCCTTTCTATGGCTAAGTAGTATTCTATGGTATGTATATATATCACAATTTCTTTATCCATTCATTGATCAATCCCAGTAGTGAGATTGATGAATCAAATGATTCCTCTACTTTTAGTTCTTGAAGGAATCTCCACACTGTTTTCCGTAGTGGTTGTTCTAGTTTACATTCCCACCAGCAGTGTAAAGGTGTTCCTTTTTCACCACATCTACGCTAACATCTATTATTTTCTGATTTTTTTGCTTATGGCCATTCTTGCCAGGAGTAAGGTGGTATCACATTGTGGTTTTGATTTGCATCTCCCTGATCATTAGTGATGTTGAGCATTTTTCCATATGTTTAATGAGAAACCAAAATTGGAGTTAGAGTTCACCAATGTGCTTTTTCCAAATTATGAATTGTTCAAAAAGTTTACATTTTCCACCTGTTGAGATCTTCATTTTGAGGTTTTTGTTTTTCTGCTGTGTCTAATCTACATCCCACTTTTCCAGGTGAATATAGAGGGCTTTTTAAAATCAATTGGAAAAGAATAAATATTGTTTTGTAAAACCCATTGCTTTGAACATGACTGTTTAGCACTTGCCTTTTAATACTTACTGAATAAGATGTTCATAGGTTGTCACATCATATGTGTTTAATTTATTCATTTAGCCAAAAAAAAAAAAAAAAAAGAGAGTGAGCAAGAATTGCAATTTAAATAATAAAGATGATTCCATCTGCTTTCTCTCTTAGTATGCACCCTGGAATGAATGGGCAGTGGGAGACATGAAACTGTTGTTCCCTTAGTTGGTTTTAATTCTGTGTACAACTCGTAACACAAGTGTTTCTCTGCATAATATATATATTTTTATAACATGATCCTTAAAAAAAAGCCAACAACTGAAAAAAAAAGTTAAACTCTCCCAAGCACTAGAAGATAAACTGACTGTGCCATACTTACTGAAAGAGAATATGTTGGTCTCTAATTGGTTTTTCCAGGATAATTTCAAATGTGCAATTTATGCCTTACATGTTAACTTTGGAACTAACTCCATCATAAGATGTGACTCCTCAGTGTTGAGTACCTGCTAGATGCCAGGCACAGTGATAGGTCCTGAAAGGATGAAAATTTAGTTTTGTCTTTCAGATAACTCTCAATCTTTTTACCTCATAAGTAAGGAAGGGCAGCTACAAGTAAGGGGAGAGGAAGAGAAGAGTATCATAGAATTAAATAGGCAAATACTTATAAATTGCTATAAGATGACCTAAAGTAGTTACTTTGGATGTTGCTAGCTTAAAAAAAGCGGGGGGTAGGGGGTGATCAGTAAATTTTTTCAACAATGTTGTATGTGTGGAAGGGACTTGCGGTGGGGGCTAGAGTAACCATAAGCGAGTGTTTCTATCCAGAAAGATCTCATACAATTCTATAGAATTTTCAGATATGCTAGTCTTGACAGTGCTACTTGAGTATCGTGCCATTTTAATTGTACCTGTCCTTACATCATACATAATGTTTCCCTTTAGGTTTCTATATATGCTGTGCCAGAAAAGATTGGTCAAGTTCACTATGCCTTGGAAACAACTGTGAAGCTTCTTGAGTTTTATCAAAACTACTTTGAAATTCAGTACCCACTTAAGAAATTGGGTAAGAATCAAATAGTGTCTCTGATTTTTGTTATAATTAGAACCTAGATTTATTTTGTGAATGTTTTTTAGAAAGAGGTTCTGCCCAAGTTGTTTGCAGAGAAAACCAAAAACTATTATTAATGCTTTAAAAATTGTATGTATTTGTTAATATTATTTAGATTTCATGAATATATCTGAAGTTGGAGCTTAAAACACTTAAGTTTATAGGGCTACTAAAAAGGTGCTGTATAAATGGGAATTTGCTTAGGGCTTAGTCTGCAATTTGACTAATTCTAACTTCCAAGAAATACCCAATTTAAATAATAAAAACTGAGTAATGGGAGCTCAGTAAAGCAAGAACATTTCAGTACTGTTCAACATGGAGCTAGTCCTGGAGAGCAGAGTATTGGCCGTGAACTTTGTCCTTCTTGCTCTGGGAAGCTAATTGATTGTAAAGGAATTAGGCATCTCTTTCTTCACTAAGGGAGAGTGGAACAGTGACTCTAAAAGGGTTTGAACAGATCTTCCTCAGCTGACATGTGGGTAGGGAGCATATAGAGTTAGAATAAGGAAGATTCCGTTTATTAGAAGTAAAAAAAGAATTCATTGTTTTCACAGTGATAAACCATTGAATAAAATACTTTGAGTAGAAAATGCCTAAGATGAGGGAAAGTTGATCACTTATTTCCTGTTATGTCCAGATTTGGTGGCTATTCCTGACTTTGAAGCAGGAGCAATGGAAAATTGGGGTTTGCTCACCTTCCGAGAGGAGACGCTTTTGTATGACAATAACACTTCTTCAATGGCGGATAGAAAACTGGTGACTAAAATCATTGCTCATGAACTGGCTCACCAGGTATTAGCAACCGAGGCTGTTATATATCACACCTGTGGTCTACTTCATGTCCTGGAGTTATTGTTAGCATTTAGATGCTAATAATTCTTTTTTTTTAAGTATTGCCTTCTTTTATAATAGAAAGATGCTTTTTAAACACAAACTTCATTTTCAAATGAAAATTCTATCAGATGTTTGTATAGGACTTTACAAGTTAAAGCATTTTTACATCTGTCTTACTTCACAACTTCTCTAAGGTGGGTATTAATCACATTTTACAGATGTGAAAACTGAGACTCAGTTCAAATAAATGGCTTGCCATAAGTCATACAGCTAATAAGTGGCAGCACTGGGCCATGAAGAGCCACTATCTCTTCAAGATCTCTTCTCCCCCCCAGTAATACACAGCTGCATCACCTATGACAAATGCCCATTGCCCAGTATAACATTTTGAGGAAGAATCTCTTTCCCTAAGTTGCACCCTTCTGACAACTCAAACTGTAGCTGTCAGGGCTGGATTTTTTTTTTTTTTTTTTTCCATCTCCTGCCAGAACGGGGTTCTCTGTTAATTTTGGAGAGGGGGTTTCTGAGAAAATGGCAAAGGGACTGTTTGTCCCATGAAGAGAAAGAAAATTATATGGGTACATAACACCCCCATTCTTCCCTAACACTTTGTCTCTATTGTGCCCTGGAAGAGGTGCTTAACTAGCATTGGGTATGGTTTGGGTGATGTCATCACAGTTTCAGTATATGAATAGGATGTATTCTGGTCTGCTTATATCCTACATCAAACACCTTATATGAATCTAGCCCTTGTGAAGACTTCATGACAAGCTGGCATATGAGCACATTCTTATTTGCCTTAAAAATAGGTCATGGGCCAGATGCAGTGGCTCAAGCCTGTAATCCCAGCACTTTGGGAGGCAGCAGCAGGCGGATCACAAGGTCAGGAGATCAAGACCATCCTGGCTAACATGGTGAAACCCCATCTCTACTAAAAATACAAAAATTAGCTGGGCATGGTGGTACATACCTGTAATCCCACTTACCTGGGAGGCAAAGGCAAAAGAATCACTTGAACCCAGGAGGTGGATGTTGCAGTGAGCCGAGGTTGCACCAGTGCACTCCTGCCTGGCAACAGAGAGAGACTCCATCTCAAAAAAAAAAATAGATCATATAGATAAGATGTCTTTTGGGGGATCTCCTCTAGGTCTGTTATTTCTAAAGCCACTCATCACCATTTGGGAATATTTCTCTGTTACTTCCTCTCTAGGACTTAGAAATCATCTTCCTCTGAAACAGGTTTTAAGATAATATCTTAGAAAAATATGTTATTGTAATTCTGAAAGGTGTTTTGTTTTACGCAGTAACCTTGTCCTTTTGCTGCTGATTTGAGATAAGCCCAAGACCACACTAACCAAATTACGTACCTTATAACTACTTTTCATTTTAAGGATTTTTTTTAGATACACTTTTTAAGGAGAATCTCTTATTATTTTTTTTTCCTTCTTTTCTTCTTACTACCTCATAGAAGAAAATATTTAAAGATCTGTCTGACTTCATTTGTTTATATATATGCCAGATTTTTTTTTTTTTTTTTATGTAACAAGGTCTCACTCTGTCACCCAGGCTGGAATGCAGTGGCATGATCATAGCTCACTGCAATTTTGAACTCTTGGGCTCAACTGATCTTCCCACCTCATCCTCCCAAGTAGCTAGGACCACAGGCATGCATCACCATGCCTGGCTTAATTTTTTTGTAGAGACAGAGTCTCGCTATGTTGCCCATGCTGGCTTGAACTCCTGGCCTTAAGCAATCCTCCTGCCTTGCCCCCGCAAAGCACTGGGATTACAGGTGTGAGCCACCATGCCCAGCCTGTATATGTCAGCTTTCTTAAGGAATGTTGTTTGAATTCTGTTTTGAATCATGCAAATACTGTCTTCAATTTGGGCAACTGAGGAGAAACAAAATATAGGCTTTCTGACTACAGGAAAATCTCTCATATAGAGACTTTTTAGTTGTCATGGATGGTTGTAGACACAATGGAAAATAATCTTACTAACTTGATATTAGAAGGTAGAAAAATGTCATTATCTAGGAAATCTCACTTCATGAGGTGGCCAAAAAAGGTTTTTATTTCCCTATATTCATGCTATATTGCATGTTAAATTGATAAATATGCTAATAACCTTGCTTGCTTGTTTCCCATTCAGTTAAGGTAAAAGATTAAAATTTTTATTTTAGTTTTAATGTAAATTTATATAATTTTTGTAAATTTTAAATTAATTTGAATATAGTTTGTTTTAACTATAATACCAGTATATTTTTAAGATATTGTAATCAAGTTATAAGTGATTACTATGACACTTCAGCCAATTATTTGAAAAATTCCTGAGACTGTAAATATCCTATGGGTTAATTGTTTTCTCTCCCCCAGTGGTTTGGCAATCTGGTAACAATGAAGTGGTGGAATGATCTATGGCTAAATGAAGGTTTTGCCACTTTCATGGAGTATTTCTCTTTGGAAAAAATATTCAAAGAACTTTCTAGTGTAAGTACAGGGTTTCTTTGGCCTACTATGAATGCTAGGAGGAAAAATAGTCAAATCACATTTTCAGTGCATCTGGAGTAATGAAAATTGTTTCTAGGAAGGTATGCCAAACTTGACCTTGGTTATTGATATCTATACCTTTTGAGATTTGACAGGAAAGTGATGCTATTATTTATTGATGTGTTTCATTGAAAACTGAAATTATATAAGATTACTTTACATTTTTGTCATTAAGATGAACATTTTAAATTGTTTTGCAACATTTTCTTTTAAACAGCTGTAGTTCTTCTGTTCGCAGGAATTTAAAGTTGCAAAGTCCTTTTTGCAAAATTAATCTTTTTTATCCTGTGTAAAAATTAGATAAAAAATTAAAACATTTTGTAGTAATAGTGTTTCTGTGTTATCACTGTGTACATTCTTGTAATAGTTATATATAGCTTGGTACAAATAAAATTTGCCCTTTTTAAGGTACAAACCACATTTTATGCCTTTTTCCAAAGATTAGGAATACCATTTCAGTACAGAGAAGTATAATAGTGGTTTCACTATGGTATTAGACTCTTGGGAAATATTTTCAGGACTTAGGGATATTCAGACACACTAGGCCATGATATGACAGATATTGTCAAGGTAATTCAAACAATAGGTGGGAAAGTGTAAAGATACCTTCCAACCCCCAAATTGTTTGACTTTCTATTAAACTTCCTGATGTTATGATCCAAGATGGCTTTTAAAACAGAAGTGCTTTTAGAGCTTTTGATTTGAAATTTTAGATAGGGCTTATTGAAAAATTTCAAGTGGTAGGGGAAATTAATTGATATTAATATCAAGTGGTAGCTAGAATACTAAGAAAGATATTCTAAATCCGTGTATGCTACGTAAGCAATGAGATACACAGTTTGACCACTTGGTGGTGCCCAGAATGTGTAAAAACGTCTAATTCATGTTCTAGGGGAACTCGTCTGCTGAGCTCTTAAAGAATTATTTCTGTTTAAGAGTTATATTTTATTTAAAACGGACCTCAGTTAAGGGAAATGTATATTCTCTTTGTAGAAATTCTAGACCATATATGAGAAATCAGCATAAGGACCAGTTTTTGTTTTTTTTCTTTTTAAATTTCAGGTTTCATTTAAAAAAAAAAATATGCTAACATTTTTAGAATATTCATCTTGGATACCCAGAGTTGGCATTTGTTTACTTTGGTAATAGATTCTCAATTTTCCCATACGCTGTTGTTTAGGAAATGCTAATTTTAATGTGGCCAGGTTATAATTGTATCTTTAAATTTAAGGAATACTCATGAAGGTTACAATCTTCCTACATTTTTGAAAGCTTATATCCTGAAGTTTAGTGACACTGGTCATTTTTTTCCTAATGATCTTACATACTAATTAGTCTAATTCATACAAATAATTACTATACTTTTGCATTTGATACTACTTGTGATATTCTAATCTTTTCATTTTTTGACAGTATGAAGATTTCTTAGATGCTCGATTTAAAACCATGAAGAAAGATTCCTTAAATTCATCTCATCCAATATCATCATCTGTTCAGTCTTCAGAACAAATTGAAGAAATGTTTGATTCTCTTTCCTATTTTAAGGTATTTCTGTGAACAAAAAGGTAGCTGGAGTGGGTTTAAAATTTCATATGTGAGCAAGCTGCGTGACTTAGATTATTTTAAAATTAAATTTTTTCAGGTATTAATGGTAAACTATAAAATGTTTGCTTCTATATAAATCTTGGCCTTAACTTTTTTGTGAGTTTTTTTCTTTCTCTAACGCTCATTTAAGTTGTATGACTAGTATTCCAGACAATTAACCAGATCTTATAGCACTGCATCTTTTAAAGTCAGTTTACTCTCCAGATCTATAGGTAGAATATGTTCGGGGAAGGTCCTAAGCAAGCTCTTGGCTGTGTTACTCAGAATTGAGGCATGCTCTCAAGTCAGGATTGCCAAAACAAGTAAGCAAAAAGAGATTTTTAAGAATTGAAGATAGATTTCAGAATCTGAAACACACACCCTGGGTTTTGAGGTAAAGAAAAAGCAGAATGTTAACCCCATTTGGATCACCATAGGTCAGAGAATGGAAGAATAGGGATAACAGTGTCATTCACATTTATGTTGTGGGGAGGAATGAATGTTATGGCTGTCAGATAAGATAGAGAAGAAAATACACAAAATGTGTGAGATACAGTCTATGTCAAGTAGCTGAAAGTTCAGGTGATTTGGTACTTGTGGAGCAATAAGAGAGGTAATATGTGCTAGTGGGACAGAATTTTTGCCTAGGATAACGAAGAGAAACTTTTGGGAGGAAAATGGGAATTGAGTTGACCTAAATAATTAAAATATAGGTAAAGAAGAAAGAAGAATGCGAAGTATAGGGTAGGGCAGGAATGGAGCAATGAGCTCTACAAAGAAAATGAAGTACTTAGTGATGTTTTTTTTCAGAGAGTCAGTGTTTGACCGCAGTGGAAGCCACACGTGAAGAGGGAAAAGAAGAGAAAGTTGAATAGGGCCCAGTTGTAGAAGGCTCTGGATACCATAAGGAATTATTTTTTCCTATGCAATAGGAAGCTTGAAAAGACTTTTGAACAGAGGAATGACTTGATTAAAGTTACTATTTAGGAAAAGTAAATTGGTTTCAGTTTATAAAGTAAATTTAAGTGGGAAGAAACGTAAAGTCAGGAAATTGCTGCTAAAGTCCAGGCATGAAATGGTAAAAGTTTGAAATGAGGAAAGTTCAGTATATAATAACAGAACAGAGTCATAATAGAGCTCTGTCTGCTTCTGACCCTAACCCTCTAAACCCAGAATTCAGTGTCTTCTGAACATGTAGTTTCCATATCATAGTCAACCCCTGTCAATATGGTAACTACTTGTTTCAGAGTCGGGAAGGAGTTGTCATTGGCAAATATTCTGTGTAATTAAGAGAAGTGGGATACTGGATAACTTATCAGTATTGTGTACAAGAAGGTAAGCACCAGTAGGGAAATACGTTTACCAGACATATTCTGTTTGGCCTTTATAATCATCAAGCCTAATTCTGATGCAGGTTGCCTTGCAAGATTTCATTCATTTAGCAAATCTTACAAGTACTAACCATGTGTCAGCCATTGTTCTAGGTGCTGGAGTTATATCAGGGAAGAAGGTGGACTTTGTCTCTTTTGTGAAGTTTCCATTTCAGGGGTCAAAGATAGAGACTGACAGTATACAAATGAATGAATAAGTAGGTATCGTGTTAAGTAATAGGTGCTAATATGAAAATAAAGCATGATAAGGGAAATGAGAATGACAAAGGAAATGATGTTTATAATATAATATGGTTGAGAAGACCTTCTGTATGGTGACATTTGAACACCACCTAAGGCATGAGAAATGTGGTTTTCTTGGGGAAGAATACTCCAGGCAGAGGAAATAACCAATGTGTAGTGCTTGTGTGCAGAAAAGAGTTAATGTAGGAGGCCTGAGACTGCTATCCTTTGAAAGATCTGCTTGCAAGGTTGACCCTTGGGTGGCATGTGGGAACTTGGGTTTTGGGAAAGTTCCCACTATTGCATGATAAGAGTGGCTCACTGTACCTAAACAATGTAGTTTATGCTGAAAATCTGCTTTCCTTCTGGGTATCTAGAGTTTTGGTATGTACTAGGCAGAAGGTACCTCTGTGACTAGCCCACAGTAAACAACCTGGGTGCTGAATCTCTAATGATCATCCCTGTTAGATGGTATTTCACACATGTTGTCACAACTTTCTGGAGGAATTAAGTGCATCCTGCGTGACTTCACTGGGAGAGGACTTGGAAGTTTGTGCCTGTTTTCCTCTGGACTTTGCCCCATGCACCTTTTTTCTTAGCTGATTTTACTTCATATCTTTTCACAGTAATAAATCATAGCAGTGAGTATGACTATATGCTGAGTTCTGTGAATCCCTCTAGTGCATCATCAAACCTGGAACTGGTCTTGGGGACTCTCACATGAGATATGAGATTGATATGAGATTGAGATAAAAGATTGCTTGCATGTTCAAGCACCAGCAAGGATCCAATGTTATCTGGAGTAGAGGAAGCAGAGGAGAAAGTAGCAGTTGAAGTTAGAGGGATTGTAAGAGGCCAGATTAGTATAGGGTCTGCTAAGCCATGGTAAGGACTTTGATTTTATTCTAAGTGAAATGAAAAGTGATTTGATCAGGGAAGTACCATGATATGGCTTATTTTGTAAAAGATCACTCTAGTCTTCAATAGTACATGGAGTTAAGAGGACTAGTTAGGAAATTATTGTAATAGATGGATGGTGAGACAATGGTGACCTGGACAAGGGTGGAAGTTGTGAAGGTGATGGAGTTACAACTGGACTTAGAATGTATTTTAAAGATTGATACAGTAGAATTTGCTCACGGATTAGATATGAAATACAAGAAGGAGGGGTCAGGGTAACTTTAAGATTTTTACCTGAATAACTGGAAAAATGGAGTTGTCATTTGCTGAAATGGAGAAGACTGCTTTAGAAGTAGGTTTAGGGAAAGAAGGGGGAAGAAACTTCAATTTCTGAGTGAATATGAGATATGGATTAGACATCCAAATGGAGATACCATGCAGGCAGTTGGATATGGGTCTGAAATTCAAGGGGGAGGAAGTCTGGTTAGAGATATACATTAGGGGATCATATGAAAACCTTGGAGTTGGGAGATCAACTAGGAAGGAAATTTAGACAGAGAAAAGGGATCCAAAGATCAGATGCCAGAACACACTTCCCTCATTGGAAGATGAGGAGGATTCAGTAGAAGAGACTGAGAAGGATGGCCAGTGGATAGGGAGAGAATCAAGAGTAGTGTCCTGCAGCTCTCAAGGAGGAGCGGGTGATCACTTATATCAAATGCTATCAATAGATGGATAAGATGAACCTGAGAATTCACATTTGTATGGCACCAGGAAGTGTCCCAGTGACCTTGATAAAAATACTTCCGGCTGGGCATGGTAGCTCATGCCTGTAATCCCAGCACTTTGGGAGGTCGAGGTGAGTGGATCACCTGAGGTCAGGAGTTCAAGAACAGCCTGGCCAACATGGTGAAACCCCGTCTCTACTAAAAATACAAAAAGGTGTGCTTGGTGGTGGTGCCTGTAATCCCAGCTACTCAGGAGGCTGAAGCAGGAGAATCGCTTGAACCCAGGAGGCGGAGGTTGTAGTGAGGGGAGATCGCGCCATTGCACTCCAGCCTGGGTGACAAGAGTGAGACTTCATCTCAAAAAATAAAAATAAAAAATACTTCCAGTAGAGTGATGATTAGAAGATGGCTCAAGAGAACATGGAAAGAGAGCAAATGGGGATGGCAAATTGAGGACAACCCCTCTGGGGAGTTTTACTACAAAAAAATAGCACCATAACCGGAGGAAGGTGAAGTTAGGGAAAGGTAGAGAGCCTTTCATTTGTTTAAAATTAGGAATGTTACGTCGTTTTTGTTTTGTTAATGGGCATGTTACAGTATGGAGGGGAAAGTTGGTGATGCAGAAGAGAAAAGACTGTTGGGGACAACAACGAGTACTTACATTTATAGAACAAGTAATAGCTATGAAGCGTGATATAGAAATGAGTAATAGGTAATAATTTAGTATTTGTACAAGAATCTTGACATTACTACAATTTAATCAAAAGTGAAATTCATTCAAAAACTACTAGAGTGCCTACCATGTAGTGGGCATTGTTTTAGTCACTGGAGTTGAGTTTTCACTTTTTCCTCTCAGTTAGCTTACAGCGTAGATGAGGAAATAAATGTGTAACAGATACAGGATGCCAAATAAACTGTATTGAAGATGGAGAAATGTGATTTCTATTTCAAACCAGGAAGGGCTTCACAGAGGAGGTGGTGCTTATTTCGGGATTGGGAAGGATGACATGTATATCAATGGATGTAGTGTGACCTTAATAGTATGCTTGCTGCCCTATACATTTGTTAGTTCCAAGCATTTGAAGTGACTCTGCAGGAAGAAAAGAGATTCTGGTTACTTCGCAACACAATATACTAAAATAAGAAATTAATGACATACCTAGCAGGGAGTCTTTTGAGAGCCTTGCCAATTTATTGTGTCTTCAGCAGTGTGTGCTCATGAATTCAATGGGTAATTTAAGCACTGGGGATGGAGGTGTGGATGCCACAGAAAATTTGCCATGTTTTTCTATTAAAATGTATTTATAAATACTTAGCTTTTCAACACTAACACTGAAGCAGTGAGTATACCAATAGACCACACGGACTGGCTCCTGGTTAGAATAGTGCACATGGGAATCTACTCATTAATTCTTTTTCAAATCCTTTAAAACAATGTTAAGATAGTTGAACACAGTCCACATCTAGTTATAGCAGACTAAGTAGCAGTGTATTATAACTAAGTTCTACATATGGAAGTAAATTTTTAGAATGACTATAGTTTGAATTTTAGATTCCCAATTTGATAATCTATAGTATTCTATTATTTTCTTTTTCCTCACCTTTTTTTTGAGTAGGGAGCTTCTCTCTTGTTGATGCTGAAAACTTACCTTAGTGAAGATGTGTTTCAACATGCTGTTGTCCTTTACCTGCATAATCACAGCTATGCATCCATTCAGAGTGATGATCTGTGGGATAGTTTTAATGAGGTAAGTGACCTGGGTAATTTATTTAGCTCAGTAAAAAGAGACGAGTTCGTCTATTTATACTCTTTAGCATGTGTGTAAGTTAATCTGTGGTACAAAGCATAGTTATTTAAGAAAGAGGGGGATGGAGCTTGCTATATAAATATTTATGAATGGAGCACTGAATTTTATGTCAAGAAATGAGAATGCTGTTCTTAGTTGTTGGGAAAAATGTGTGTGGACTTGGGTAGCCAGTTTTTTTTTTTTTTTTTTTCTGTACCTTAATTTTTATTCCTATTTTGTAGGAAAGTTGTCTTCTCCATATTAATGAATATTACTAGATTTTTATTATTTGACTTTTTTTTTCAAAAATTTCTTTTCCTATACTTACCGTTTTTTAGTTTTTCTGCCTCCTTTGAGTGATTCTGTACTCTGCTCTATGAATCTCTTGCCTTTGTGACTGTTCCTCCAGAGTAGATGATACTTCACAAGCTGACTGCATATTACCCTTGGATGGTTTTGCTGTTGGAATTTTGTCATTCCTGGAAATATTCTAGCAAAAAATGTAATTATGTAGAAGTTACACTTCAAAGCAGCACATGAACCCAGGCTTCTTCATGCATGTATGCTGACTGCAAAACCCTTATAAGCATTTGCGTTTGTTACCCTGATTTAGATTGATGGGTCGTAATGCTTTAAAAGATCACAGACTTGACTGGGTATGGTGGCTCACACCTGTAATCCCAGCACTTTAGGAGGCCAAGACAGGCAGATCATGAGATCAGGAGTTTCGAGACCAGCCTGGCCAATATGGTGAAACCCCGTCTTCACTAAAAACACAAAAATTAGCCAACGTGGTGGCACGCTCCTGTATTCTCAGCTACTTGGGAGGCTGAGGCAGGAGAATCATTTGAATCTGGGAAGCAGAGGTTGCAGTGAGCCAAGACTGCACCATTGCACTCCAGCCTGGGTGAGAGAGCAAGACTGTCTCAAAAAAAAAAAAAAAAAAAAGGAAAGATCAGATCGCAGACTTATTTGGAAATTTGATGAAAGTTCTGGCAATATTACTCAGAAAAACCACATATGTGCAGAACATCACACAGAGTTTCTAAGTTTTATTGACTCTAGGTTAGGAACCCCTGCTCTGGATCTTTCTCATACATTCTTTCTGCTTCTTTGCCTCATCTGAATCCTGATATTTTCTAACTGTTAATCTTTTGCCCAGAAGATATATCTTCCCTACTCTCTGAATTCTCTTTGAGAACTTGTTACCTAACAGTTGTTCCCAAATCATTGTTTTATTCCTCTGATATAGTAGCATTTCATTTGAAAGCCACATTGTTTACTTTATACTTACCGTCTTATCTGTTGGCATTTAGAACATATTTCTGCCTTTCTCATTGACTGCAACTTTTGCATCATGGTGTTTTTCTTTCCCAAACTAGTTCCTAACAGTATCCTCAGGTTTTTCAGCATCCACATCAAATTATGCATTGGCTTCTTCACTTCAATACTGCTTCGACACCCAAAAGCATCTTGATTTTAGGCAAGCTTATTTTCTTCTAATTCTCTGGTTCAGAAATAAATAGGTTAGAGCCATGATAAATGTAAGATTAATTAAAATGGGAAGATTTGCTCCATCCTTTTGTGCTATAAATAAATGGGCATATGGTGATTGAGGTAAGGCCTGCTGTAGTAGAGTGATTTTATCAATTTAGGTACATCATGACTTTGTTGCTTACAATTCAAATTCATATATAATCTAGAAAAATAATTTGAATCCTAAGTTTAACCACCTGCTTTAAAGAGGCTGTTGTTCAAAAATTGCTTCTTAGTTATTGATACTAGATGTCTTAGGGGCTTTGGGCCTTAGAGGGTCTGCAAAGCTCTGACACTAGGTTCTAGGTTTTATAGATAACTTCATATATTTTCTGGGAAAGAAGGTCTGTGACCACCAAAGTAGTTTACCTCTGTTTTTGAGAAAGACTTAAGGCAACCGACCTGTTCATATGTCATTCTTCTGCTGCTGCCGCTGCTCCCTGGCACTCCCACAGTATTAGGTCCTAAGAGACTATCATTATGGAGGTGGAGGGTAGGAGCATAAATAGAAACCCAGACTCAGGTGATTCACAGCATTGAGTAGCAATGATTCTGATTGTAGACTTATATCATTATTCATATCTTCTAGATGATAGTATTGTGATTTGAAAGAATACTTATACCTTCTTAGGGATTTTAATATTGATGAATTTAGGGATTTTAATGAACTCTTAGTTGGTTGATACATGTGCGACTTCTCAACCTAGTGCCTCCCTCACTCCCTTAGCTATCACTTAGCTCTGTTCCAGGTTACATTCCTTTTAGCAGTTGCTCATTTACCTAGATTAGAGGTGTAAATTCAACATTCCTGTTTCTTTTTTATGTTAACATTAAATGTATTCTTTATAGATGGTAGGAAAAGAGGGAAGCGTACAGATAAATTAAAATTAAATTTTTTTAAACCAATTTTTATTTTTAAGGAAAAAGAGTTTTATGTATATACATTTTATAGGTCACAAACCAAACACTAGATGTAAAGAGAATGATGAAAACCTGGACCCTGCAGAAAGGATTTCCTTTAGTGACTGTTCAAAAGAAAGGAAAGCAACTTTTTATACAACAAGAGAGATTCTTTTTAAATATGAAGCCTGAAATTCAGCCTTCAGATACAAGGTACATGCCCTCTTTCTTTTCATGCCATCTCTTTTGCACCCTCAGTGATCATAAGTTCTTATGAAACCTAACAAGATTATCCCTTCCTAGGAATAGCTTAACAAAGTTAACCTTCCTACCAATTTTTTTTAAAAAAAGAAAACCAACAAATCATATGTAACTAACTGAAATAATAGTAATTTTCCAATATTTTCTCTTTACAGCTACCTGTGGCATATTCCACTATCCTATGTCACTGAAGGAAGAAATTATTCAAAATATCAGTCGGTATCACTACTGGATAAGAAATCAGGTTTGACTATAATGACAGTTCTGATTGGAAATGGCATAATTTTAAAAATTGGATCAGAGTGCATATATAAGATTACACTTGCCCGTGTGGACACTCTCTGAATTGATTTTATGAGTTGCATATACCAGATGTGACTAACGTGAGATTGATTCTGTATATCATGCACAAAACTGGCTTTAGCCTTGTGAAATAAGGTACAAAAATTTGCAGAGAATGTACTGGCATTCCTGAAAGAAAATAGCGAATGCCATGTTTTTATATTCAAGATTAATATTTTGTTACAAAATAAGAGGGGTTTCTTAAAGTATACTCTGCTGTCTGCTGTCTCGGGTTGGGCTGGGGCAACTGCATTTTAACAAGATACACCCTAAATGATTTGTGTGCATAATTGAGGTTGATTCATGATCGGATTTAGAGTAAATAGTTATTTCAATATGCCCTGAAGACATAGCATATGTTTTGGGGAACAAGAAAATGGGAGAAGAAACTACGATAGCAAGGTGGAGGGAAATAGTAAAATATAAACATGGTGTATGCTGACCTACAATATGAAAAGCAATTGAAACGTAGTTTGGGGCCATTTGTTAAATACCACTATGAATGTCACACCACATATCTTCCTCTTAATTTGCATCCTAAAGAAACACAAGGCTCTTGGGTTCTGTAGTATGCGTTAGTGATGCTTTGGATTGATGAAAAGGGAAAATTTCTCGTTTGAATTTGGATCTGGTGTCAAAGCCTATATTTTTGAGGGGTGAGTGTAGCTTAGGGGTAAGAGAATGGGACTTTGGAGACTGCCTGGTTCAATTCTTAGCACTACCATTGATCACTTATATGATTTTAGGCGAGTTATGTGAGCCTCATTCCCTCAGCTGTACAAAAGATATAGTAATTATACTTACTTTATGTAGTTGTGGTGAGGATTAAAAGAGCTCATTTATATGAAGCACCTAGAACAATGCTATAATGTATCTATATTACATAAAACCTGGAAAATGGAGAAAAAATAATATTACCATCAAAACTATTCTTATGATTGTTTGTTTACAGTCATTTTTAATAAATATTTGTAGTCAAAATTTTTATATATATATATGATTTCTGTATCTTTCCTTTTTTTAACCTACTTGATTCACCATTTGTTGTTATAAAATATTGCCTTAATTAAATATTTCAAATCTTAAAGGTTTTTCCATTATATGAAATTTTTTAAGGAATGGTTTTCAAAAATGAAAACTGCATTACCTTTTGTGATTTGGTACATATAACTAAATAACCCTTTTATTGTCTAGTTACAGTTGATAATGCCACCTGAAATACATGTGCCAGTTTCATTGCAGTTTGATAGTGGAATGTTAAAGCAGCAACAATCTAATTATTTAAAATCCTAGTGGTAGTAGGTAACATCATCATATCTTTGACAGCATAGCTGGGAGTGCAAGGAATTGCTACTGTCTTTGAGTAAACAGAACTCTAACTTTGCATGAGCCCTGAAAGGATAGTCTCTGACCCAAAAGAGAACAAATAACCCCATCTCCCTATATCCTGCAGCACAGCCAAAACATGGCTGGAGTATTCGCAAGCAACTAATAAGGAAATTTTGCAAACTTTCTGACAGTATATTAATTTTTAGTGCTATTAGAAATAATTGGGCAATAAGAAATATTTTATTATCTGGTTTTTTGTTTGTTTGGTTTTTGTTTGTTTGTTTGTTTGTTTTGAGTTGGAGTCTTGCTCTGTTGCCCAGGCTGAAGTGCAGTGACAATATCATAGCCCACTGCAGCCTCAAACCCGTGGGTTCATGCAATCCTCCTGCCTCAGCCTGCCAAGAAGCTGGGACCACAGGCACATATCACCATGCCTGGCTTAATTTTTGTATTTTTTGTAGAGACAGGGCCTCACTATGTTGCCCAGGCTGATCTCAAACCCCTGGCCTCAAGTGATCCTCCTGCTTTGGCTTCCCAGAGTGTTGGGATTACAGGCATGAGCCACCGCACCTGGCTCCTCTTTACTCTTTACCTCAGTTTTCTTCTGAGCTTGTTAAGCTCTTTTTGAGAGTTTAGCCCCATAGACTAGCTCATATTTTACTTCTTTAGCCTTCTAGGCCCTTGCCTGGCATTCTCTGCTTTTGCCGCACAAAAATTCTATCAGCAATGCAAACACACCGTACTGCCTCTTTAGGTTTTTGCATATGCTGTTTTCTCTCCTTGAAGAACACTCTTGCCTCCTCACTCCCTCGGCCTACTCCTGTTTATTCTTCAGATCTTAGCTCAGCCATTGCTTGCTCGATGAAACCTTTCCTCCCCTAAAGTCAGGTTAGATGCCCTACTTAGGTTTTTTAATAACATTCTGTACTTCTCCACTCATAATATATCGTAAGTACTGTTCACTCGTATCTATCCTCATATTAGGTATTTCCCCCATTGACGATAGTGATCATGGCTATATGAATCACTGTAAATCACTTTTAGTACTCAGTAGGCACACAAAAACTTAATGAATTAGTAAATTTTAGTCCATAATGAAGTAACTCCAGTCTCACTATAAAAATTTCTAGGAAAAGAACATGCAAAGCCTGATAAAATGATGTTTTCTTTTTCCCTTCCTCTTCTTAGTAAAGAGGAATATACAGAATTCACTAGAATATAATTGATTTAATCTAGAACTGGAACTGGGCCAACATATGATGAAAGTAGTGTCTGTTACTTCCTCTTCTCAGCTGTGTTATTTCCCTTGCTGCTGCTGCTGCTGCTGCTGCTGCTGCTATTTTAATTCCTGCCATTTCAGGTTTAGAGAGTCCACATGAAAACTTTTGTCCTTATGTTTGACCCTGAGGACAGTTGAGCCTTCTTGGTTCCTAATGCTCCGATGAGAGTTACTCTTAATTTAACTGCATTTTTATTTTTTCTATTCTCAAAAGAAAGGTAGCAGAGAGGGTGACTTCAGGCTTCTTTTATGCTGTAATACTTTAGTATAGTGTATTATTTTGATGCTTGATGGTTGGTTAAATCTTTAATATATTTTCTTTCTTTTTTAAATACATTTTCATGTGTTCTAATTCAAGGGTTGTTGGGTTAGTTCATTAGTTCAGTTGTATACAGGAGTTATGTTTGGTTAATATATTTGTCTCCTTTTCTCACATACATGAATTTTGAACAATTAGTATTTATTGTGCACAAGAAATGCTGATGGGGCCATTTTTCCAGTGTACATATTGAGGAAATTATATTTTTAAAAGTTTCCCTCTTCCCTTTCTTCCTCCCTCTCTCTCTCTTATCCACATTTTACTCAGACCTAAGATCTTTAACTATAGGAGATTTTCATATTAAATCTAATGCAAAACATTCATGTTTCCAAATGGATATCACTATCAGAAATACTGCTGTGAAAGTAAAAGATATGTCATTGGAAGAAAAGGTAATTAGGATGAAAGAAGGAAGGACATACAGTAATTAAAATATTTATCATGTGCCATTCTCTGTTCTTGCCTTTTTTTCCCCTGATAAAGTAAAGGAGAAAGAAAGGGGTATTAGAGAAGGGAATGCTTTTGAACAGGAGTGATACAGTTCAATAGCATGTATGATGCTACTCTGGAGCAAACTTACAGGAAATTTTGTAACTTTGTAGTAAAAACATGATTTTTAGTTTCAGAACTTTAATTTTTTTGTAAAACAATAGTTGATTTTCATAGCTCTTTGACAAGTGGTTTTTAAAAATCACTGTTAGATTACTTCATCTGGGCTTCTGCCATTTAACATTGCAGTCACTCACTCTTTTTTTGCTACTCAATAGACTGAAAATTGAAGTGTTAATCTGTTAATGATTATAGTAAATTAAAAACATATGAGGGTAGCCTCATCCACATTTGAGCTGCAGGATGTAGTTACTTCCCTTGTGTGCAAAGCTATTATTTTTCGATACCTGTGGTTTTAAGGTCCACCATTCTGGATCATTCAGAAGAACTGAAAGAGACTAATAATGTTGATTCTTTAAATGATAACTCTCTGTCTTTGTGCTGTTGGCTGTACTGCGTTGTGTCATCTCGATGACAGTAATAATTTCAAGTATATTCCCAGCTGTGTCCCTCCTCTTTACCATCTGGACTTGGCTAGGTTTACAACATGGCAAGTTGCTTATCAACCAAGATACTCTGTATGTATTTCAATGTTTTCTGCATCCATCTAGTGGAACAATTGTCATAGCTATCATTCCTTGTCTCCTTTTATGGGCAAGGGAGATTTGGGTCTCTGTAGCCCTTCTTCCTGGGGTTCTTTGTTTCTTTTCTTTACCTTTGTTTTTATTAGAGGCAGAGTCCTGCTCTGTCACCCAGGCTAAGGTACAGTGGCACAATCATAGCTCACTGCAGCCTTGACCTAGTGATACTCGACCTCAAGTGATACTCCTCCCTCAGCCTCCTGAGTAGCTGGGACTACAGACATGTGTCACCATGTCTGGCTAATTTCTATTTTTTGTAAAAATGATGTCTCACTATGTTGTCCAGGCTGGTCTCAAACTCCTGGGCTCAAGTGATCCTCCTGCCTTGGTCTCTCAGAGTGCTGGGATTATAGGTGTGAGCTACCATACCCAGCCCCAGGGTTCTTTCTTGATAAAAGCTCCATAGGATATAGTGTTGGTGACCTGGAGAGTATTGATATTTTTGGATTAGCTAATGATAAAGTTAATTTCCTTAGTCATAGGTTTGCTAAAAATGGCTCCAACTTGGAGCAGCCACTGCTGCCATCACAAGTATCCCTTAAAACTGCATTCTGCCCTCGAAAAAAGGAATAAACCATATTTAATTGATCTTTCCCATCTGTTGCTATATCAGCAATATAACAGAAATAAGTATGGAACTTTTTTAGTAAGAAAGACTGCTTAGCTTATATGTCCTGTTAAGACATGATCAGAATGTCTTTTTTATCTTAAACATCTTTTTCAGTATCAATATAATTGGAGTAACAAAGATATTAAGGGCATCTGACACATTTAAATAATTAAGGTTTTTGAAGTTGATAAACCCTAAGGCATCAGGTACTAATATATAACCCTTAGTACCTAAGCTAAGGCTTCAGGTACTAATATATAATCTTTAGGTTGAAAACATATTTATAAAGCATTTTATATAAAAAAGTTTCACTACAGAATTATAATGATAGTGACCATTTTAAAACAGCCCAAATTGTTCAAAATAGATTGGATAAACTTGAAATGGAATATTATGAAGATATTTGAACACTGCTTATGAAGACAATGGAAAAATGTGGAGGGGTCTGATAGGTGAAAAAGGATAAAATAAATGCATATAGATCTGCCATATAAAATATTAAAAACAAGAAAAAAACTTGGCAAGAAGTACATTCCAGAATGCTATCATTGTCTGAGTTTAGATTATTCTTATCTCTACTTTTCTTTTTCTTACAATTAAAATTTTTTTCAAGTATTTGTTATTTTAAAAGGGGGTAAAAATTATATGATAAGCATATACAAACCTTTATCTAGACTTGATTTAAAACTATTTATTGTGACATAGTCATTATTTATTCATTCACTCACTAATTCAATGGTATTTGTGGAGTACCTGCTAGGTCATAGTTATAGGGGCTGCGGCGTTAGCAGTAAACAAAATAGTAAGCTTATATAGCTTATATTCTAAAAGTAGTAAACCTCAAGATACTTAGAAGCATACCCCCATTATAATTAAGTCTACATCCTTGTTGCCAACTTTAAAAGACATCTCTTCATTAGCAGTTTTAAGGATTTTAAAAATTCATACATATATTTTGTGATCAGTTAACTCTTAGCGCTTCATTATTGGTACATTAGTTGACATAATTTCATAGAAATTTCTAACAATTCTCTCAGCATTTATAGTAGAGACCCAAAAAGTGCCTAACCTTTCCTGTTATTTTAACCCAATTATTTCTTATTTGTCTCTTATGTAATCTTAAGCCTTCCCTAACGTTTATTTTGCTAGCTTTAAATAATGTGACTTTTCTAAATGACTTTGTTTGTTCTTCCTTCGCTAACATGACGAAGGACAGAGGCCGAAATGGGACACATTTTACACAGTTCTCTCACTGTCTTCCACTGCTGTCTCATCCTGCACCTTTACTTTCTCCCTCCCTCTCTCCTCTAGCCACAATGAACTTGGGAGCCAGTTCAGTGCATGGATGCCATGTGTACTTTCTCTCTGGGCCTTGAGCACTTAGGTTTCCTACTATATCTTCTTCACTTGGCCAACACCTAAATATTTTGAGGTCTCTTAGAAGAATGACAACTTAGATGTCATTTCTTCCAAGAAATTGCTCCTAACTTTCCCTAGGAGAGTGAAGCATTTTTTCTATGTGCATTCGTTGAATGCTGTCTTTTCTTTTTCTGTCAATAGCGCTTGTATGATATTGTACTTGCCTGGTTACTTTAGACTGTGAGATCTCTAAAAGCAGAGATATATCTACCTTGTTCACCATTTGATTTCTAGCGCCTAGCTTACAGCCAATAATGCACAGTAAATAAATAATTGTTAAATGAATGTCTTGACCTTCACTAACATGAAAATAACTGTACTTGGAGACAGGCATTTTTTTCTTACTAGAACGGTTAAAAATAAACTAACTTAGAAACAAAGCACTCATGTAATTTTTTTTTTCTTGTCCAATTGTCTTCTCTCTCAATCTCTCATATTTTGGTTTCCATTAGGTGTCATCAATCTTACAGAAGAAGTGCTGTGGGTCAAAGTGAATATAAACATGAATGGTTATTATATTGTACACTATGCAGATGATGATTGGGAAGCTCTAATCAATCAGTTGAAAATAAATCCTTATGTTCTGAGTGACAAAGACCGAGCCAACCTTATCAACAACATCTTTGAACTTGCAGGGTAGAGTATACTTAGTTTGAGTTTTTTTCTTTTTTTAACAAGTGTCATTGATGTAAAGAACATATATGAAAAACAGTTTGAAAGAACTAGCATGTATTGGTTGGTACAATTCATTTTGGAGGATTGGGAAAATACAAGATGTGTTCATTGCCTCCAGGGACTTTATGAAACATTAGCTGCAAACATACTGAACAGTTAAATGAAACAGGATTTGATAGTAATTCAAGACTAGATATCAAAAACAGGATACATATTTTGTTGACTAAACTGATACGGGAGTTCAGGCTTTATTTTATTTCATAAGATAATTATTTTCAAGCAGCAGTTGGTTTAAGCATGAAAATTAGTGCTTATGCATTGGTTTTAAGGGACATCTCTGATGGCTGGCGCCACTTATCTGTACTGCTTGCCTCTCCAACCACCTCATGCGTTATAGAATCCCAAAACCAAGGATGACAGTGACTTCATGTAAAGATATTATCTGAATAGCATATTACCAATTTAGATTGATGATAGGCTTAGAAACACAGCAACGCTTCAGGTCAGAAGAGTATTCCTTCTGACCTCCCTGCACATTTCCATTTTGTCTCGTTTTTTATGAAGTACCCTTCTTATGTCATCTTAGCCATTGCTGCTATGATTTCTATAAAATGGTTAATTTTAAAAATTTACTCACCGTAAATTCACAATAGACCTTGTCATAACAAGTTTGAAAAACAATTTCCCATTAAACCAACAAATAAAATATTTAAAAAATTTCAGATGCTGTCTATGCTATACTCTCTTTCCTGGCAAATATAACTAATTAATAAAATTAGTACTATTCATCTTTTCTAACCCAAGATATTATATTTTTGCTGAGTTAGTAGCAATTTACAGGAGACTTAGGAATAAAGAAAATGAACTATTGTTTATCTTTCTCTTGAAATGCTTCCTTAATCTTGGGCCACTTTAACTTAATCAGAGATAATCATATTTAGCTTAACTTTACAGAATGCCACTGTAAGCTTAAATTTTTGGTCTTCAAGACTCGCCATCTAACCCTAAGTTTCTCTCTTAGCATGCATACAGTTCTTCTGTGTGTCTCTGCGTATTTACTTTTCCTGTTCTTTTATCCTTTAGCCTAGGCAAGGTACCTCTCCAGAGGGCCTTTGATTTGATTAATTATCTTGGAAATGAGAACCATACTGCACCCATCACTGAAGCCCTGTTTCAGACAGGCCTCATCTATAACCTCCTTGAAAAACTGGGATACATGGATCTGGCCTCAAGACTGGTGGTAAGTCTGTCTTTTTACCAGCTTATTGCTGTTTATCTTTAATATTATTATTCATCATTCCATTTTCAGTCAGTAATAGGCTGAAAAAGCAACCAGTTAAATTCCATTTTCTTCACTTTTCTGCTTGTGAAATCTTTACTTAAAATCAAGACGTTGCTTATGATAAAGAGCTGATAAAGGCTTAGTATGATATGGTCTTGTTTGAATATCAAAATACAGACATTTGACACCACTGTCAAAATGAGGTCACATGAGAATAACATTTCTCTATTCAAATCCTGTTTTATTTTTACATGATGAATGTTTGAAACAGGCCCTTTTACAAAGTAGATCTCCCCATTAATTTTCTAATGGTCATTATAAAATGACAGTTATGTTTGTATTGAGAATATTCTGTTTAAGAGTTCTTGCTGATGACTATCTAATGGATAATGATGCTGGTGGATATGTTTCTTTGCAAAGCACTAAAGGAGTCTTAGTATTAGAGAGCATTTTACCTTTCTTAATACCAACTGCCTGATCGTAATAGTTGTTATTTTGGATACTTTCAATATTAAACTGTTGAGTGAGACTTTAAAAGCTTGGAAGAGAGTGAAAAATTATTTGTTTTTATCTAATTCTCTGAATCAGCGCATTTTGACAACAGAGTTTGCTTTATAAACTAGTGAGATTTCCCAGGGACCCAGGCAAAAGGCAGCTTTCAGGGAAAGGGAGATAGTATTAGACCAAGAATTAGAATAAGTCTTTGGGGGTTTTGGTATTCTCACTGGTAAAAGGAAAGGGTTGGATTAAATCATTTCTTAAAACAACCCTCTTTCTAGGCCGGGCGCGGTGGCTCAAGCCTGTAATCCCAGCACTTTGGGAGGCCGAGACGGGCGGATCACGAGGTCAGAAGATCGAGACCATCCTGGCTAACCCGGTGAAACCCCGTCTCTACTAAAAAATATAAAAAACTAGCCGGGCGAGGTGGCGGGCGCCTGTAGTCCCAGCTGCTAGGGAGGCTGAGACAGGAGAATGGCGTGAACCCGGGAGGCGGAGCTTGCCGTGAGCTGAGATTCGGCCACTGCACTCCAGCCTGGGCGACAGAGCGAGACTCCGTCTCGAAAAAAAAAAAAAAAAAAAAAAACAACCCTCTTTCTGCCTCTATTATTGCCTTACCATGCATCTCCTGTAAACAGTTCTCTCATCACCTGCATGATTCTCAGTGAGTGGAGGGAATGCAGGGCAGAGTGGCTGTGTGGAGCTTGAAAAGCTCTCCTCCCCTAAAAGTTTCTGATCTGACCCCAAAGAAATTACCCCATCCCTACCCATGAGCAAGATGCTTAAGTTAGATGATTCTCTGAGGTCTCTTCTAATGGTTAAGATTTTTATCATTTTCTGTTTCATAAGGCTTTCAGCTAGCAGCCTTAATAAAAACCAGTGCCTGGAACATGACCCGGCCTGTAGTGACCCTCAGTAAATGTTGAGTGAATAAATGATTGAAACACACCAGAAACACATGCATTTGAGTGCTTTTACACACTACCATGCTTAGTGCTTACTGTAGATTACCTCATTTAATTCTCACACAATGCCAAGGTAGATATTTCTACCCTCATTAAATGAACGAGGAGATGGAATAGCTTCTTTAAAGTCACTTAGCTAGTAAATGATAAAGCTGAGATTCAAACCCAGATTAATTTCACTCCAAAGACTTCTCTTTGTGTTATATTGTTATTTGTAAAATTAGTTTGTGTCCTAGCAACGTCGTCTTTCCAGGATACCTTTTGTTAGAAAAATTAAAGCTTTCTTCTTGTCATATTCTTTTGAAAAGCTTGCAGACCAAACATTTAAGGTTTCAAGTGACTGACCCACATCTAATTGTTCTCCTAAAAATGAAATTGTCAACTTAAGAGACTTTTTTATATCTAAAATGTTAATAATGACTTTTTAAAACAATATTTATGTACCTTTCCAAGAAGTATGCAGATAGCTTACTCATCTCTTTAGGGCAAACTTAGAATCCAATAGCAACTTTCTAGTGTTAGTATAGTAAAGAGAATCCAATAGCAACTTTCTAGTGTTAGTATAGTAAAGAGATTGGCCATTAGTTAACCAATTCGCCTATTGTTGATAGACATTTGCGTTATTTGTAGTTTGGAGCTATCATGAATAGCACTGCTATGATGTCTTCAATGAATGTCTTTATGCATTTCTATGGGGTATATGTCTGGAAATAGGATTATTGAGTCATAACACATGCATAGTTAATACTGTACTATCAAATAGTTCTTCAAAGTTGTACCAATTTACACTTAGCAGTGTATGAGAATTCTAGGTGCTCTATATCTTTGCTGATAATTATCATTCATATTAAATCTTTTTTAGCCATGTGGATAGGTGCATAGTGGTACTGCAATTTTGACTTTAATTTACATTTTTCTACTGATGTGAAGATGATTTTCTTTTTGATACATGTATTGACCATTACATGTTCTTTTGTGAAATGCCCATCTTTTGCTTATTTTTCTGTTAAATTGTCTGCCTTTTTCTTGTTGATTTGTAAGAGTTCTGTGTATATCCTAGATATGAATCTTTTGTTGGTCATATATGTTTGCAAATATCTTCTCCTACTCCATCTTGCTTTTTTACTCTCTTAATGATTTTTTATTAATATGAGATTTAAATTTTAATGTAATCTAGCTTATGAAATATTTTCCTACCCCTAGATATTCTGTGTTCTCTTCTGAAACTTTATTATTTTATCCTTCACATTTAGATCTATGATCCATCCGAAATTGATTTTTGTGGATGGTGTGAGGTAGACACCAATATTCATTCTTTTCGGTCTGGATATCCAGTTATCCCCAGGACCAGTATATTTTATTGCACAGAATTATGTTTGAGGTAATTAGTGTAATATCAACAGCCTTTGGGGTAATATATTAATTTCCTAGGGCTATCAAAACAAGTCATTGCAAACTTGATGTCTTAAAATAACAGAAATTTATTCTCTCATAGTTCTGGAAGCTAGAAGGCCAAAATCAAGGTATTGGCAGAGTAAGGTTTGTTTCTTCTGACAAAGAACCTGTTCCGTTCCCCTCTCCTAACTTCAAGTGATTGCCAGCAATCCTTGGTATTCCTGGGCATGTTGGTGCCTCACCGCGGCCTTTGTCTCTGTCAACCCAGTGTTCTCCCTGTGTTTCTGTGTCCAGATTTCCCCATTCTTAGATTAAGATCCATCATAATCCAGGATGACCTCATCTTAACTTGATTGTACCTGCAAAGACCTTATTCCTAAATAAGGTCATATTCATAGGTCCTAGGCAGACACAAAATTTGAGGGGATACTATTCAACCTACTACAGGTGGCAATAAATAAGATTAGTGCATATCACTCACTTTTTTTCACTATTAAAGGGCAGTGTTGGTTCTGAATATACCCTGTGAGGAGGCAGAATATCTCCCGACTCTGAAGCTGCCCAGTTAAACTTCATAATGGCAGAAGTCAATCTTCTCCTTGCCTCTCTGTTAACTCTGTTTAGAGCTTAGTGCTCAGGAAGCACTTGATACTTACGTTTTCTTTCAACTGCATCTTCATCCGAGATGATTTCCAGCTTTCTGGGCAGATATGTGTTTATTAGGAACATACTTCAAGGAGGGATCCAGGGACTGATGGATAGAGGGCAAGGGCAGAAGGCTTAGTATGTGTTTCCAAGATCGGACGCCCTTTTACTGCTGTATGTCTTCCTATGGTTAGCTAAAAGCCCAGTTAACTTTACTTCACCAAGAGGGAGAACGTGTCTTTTTAACATTCTTATTCTAATATTAGGGCATTCTGGTAGCATCAGTACTCCCAAACTAGGAAATCTGACATTCTACAGTTAGGAATTGGGATGGCAGACATTTATGAATCCTTGGATATGATGTTCAAATGTATTAGTGTCTAAGACTGATTTCTAATTAACTTCTATATCATTGGAACCAAAGTATTATGTGCATTTATTGGTCATTTTGTTATAAAGGCTGCACATGACATATGCTGCATTTTGTGATGCTGTGGTGTTGTGATGGGTAGGGTCTGGAGGCACATTTCAGTTGTGTTAAATTGTTCACATCTGATGTTAACATCTGATCCTAGCCATATTCCTGTTTTATCACTTACAAATCTGTCATTCTTTTACATATGAGGCATTGGTGGGATAAACCTTTGGCAATAAAAACTGACATTTCACTTTTAAGAAACTCAGTTGACCCAGGAAAGAACTCCCTGGGCATATCAGTGTAAAATTAAAGCAGTAAATCAAAATGTAATATACAACATAAGTGCTAGCATCTTTCCCTGCCTGTTTTATTTTAAAAATAATTTTATATTATTGTTGTTGTTGCATTTTATTACAAATCCAGTGTTTGTAGCTTGTATAACCCATCAATTTATTTCCTCTCTCCACTTGCCATTTCACTTTGTAAAATCATAGTTGCATTCTATTGTTGAATGAGCTTAAATTTCAGAAAAATTAATTTGGAGCCATAGAAAAACATTTCATTTTGTTTCTAAAAGAGAAAGGTAATTTGAAGCACATACTATGCTTCATTAATATTACTTAATATTAAAAATAAACCTGGATTACTTATAAAAATGGTATTTTATAACAGGATTTTTCAAATAATATAATTATTCTTTCTTAAAATGTTTTACTCTCTTATGTTATAATTTGAAATACATTTAAGCAACTATTTTGAGAACTTGTCTTAATGATTTCATATGGAGACTAACTAGTAAAATTGCTCCCTGTAATTCGGTGGTGTGACTGCTCAGGAATTAGATCTTCAAGTGTCAGATTTCCTTTGCTTCCAGGACTTTAAGTGCCATTCTTTCCATTGCTGCCTTTGTGTTTTAGTAAACGCTCAGTGAGTATTGCCATTGTTCTTCACTGATTTTTTTTTTTTTAAATAGGATTTCAAGCATGTGATTTTTTTTCTCACATTTTTCATTTGTTCCTATTTGACAGTTATGAGTAGGATTTAAATTTCTTTTCTCCAGTCATTTGGGATGGTTTTCTATCATAATGCTGTTGAGAAAGTAAAGCCAGTGAAGATACCATGTAGAATGAAGTCAGGTGTGTCAAGTGGGATCTCCTGCATTGCTTGTCCATTCCTTGCATTGTCAGTCAGCATAGCAACTACTTTTCTACTTTGTGTCCTCCCGATGACTCAAAAGCTTTACCACTCACACATTCCACAAGGTGTCTGTTCTGTGTTTCATTGCTTTTGAAATAAACACAAGCAAGTTGACATGTTATCACAAACCTTGAGTTCTTTTCCTTGCAGATTCTTTTTTTCCATTCTCATATTCAGCTCCACAAGATGCTTATTCAGAGTAAGTCATTGCTAGGGTAATGGCCTCAATAGTTTAAAAATTTCCAAATAGGATTCATTTTAGGTATTGACAGTGGTAGTCAGTGGTACGCACTGTCAATACCTAAAAGAAAGGAAGAAAGCAATGCTCTGTGAAGAACTTGAGCTAAACTTCTGAAGTTAAGGGTTTTTGTATGTGGTCGTCTGTGGTACATGATTACTTGAGATGAGATGCCACGATGGTGGTGGAGGTAAAGAAGTACCAGTGGGAAGAAATCCTCCCATGCTGATTACTGCAGAAGGGGTATCTGTTGAACTTTTTTCATTTTGGTCCTCCTTACGTAGCCATGAAGGTTTTCTAAAGAATACCTAAAAATGGCCGGGCGTGGTGGCTCACACCTGTAATCCCAGCACTTTAGGAGGCCGAGGCGGGTGGATCACGAGGTCAGGAGATCGAGACCATCCTGGCTAACATGGTGAAACCCCGTCTCTACTAAAAATACAAAAAAGAAATTAGCCGGGCATGGTGGCGGGCTCCTGTAGTCCCAGCTACTCGGAAGGCTGAGGCAGGAGAATGGCATGAACCCAGGAGGCAGAGCTTGAAGTGAGCCGAGATCACGCCACTGCACTCCAGCCTGGTTGACAGAACAAGGCTCCATCTCAAGAAAAATAAATAAATAAAGAATACCTAAAAACATTTTTTATATCAGAATGTTTGTTCCTTCTAGTGGTATTCATAAAAGCATATTTCATATGATGCTTTTTAAAATCTCATGTGTCCTCACCCCCCACCCACCGTGCACAACTTGCAGAATGGAAATACATCGACATGCTATTAACAGCTTTGGTGTTTTTATTTTGGAGAGGGTTGAAAAAAGTGTTTATTAGTACCTTAATACCACAAGTATACGTTTAGCAATGACATCCCATACCAATGGACTAGATAGTAGATGATATTAATGAATAACTATTAGTTTTCTTAAGTGTGATAAGGTATTATGGTTCTGTAAGAGAATGTTCTGATATCTGTGAGTTGCATGCCAAAGTATTTATAAATGAAATATCATATCTGTATCTTACTTTCATATTGTTCAGCTAAAACAAGAAAAAACGTGTGTGTGTGTGTGTGAGAGATACACACTTGAAAACGAAGCAAATGTCAATGCTAAAAACTGGTGAATCTAGATGAACAGTGTATGGGTGTTTATTGTACTATCTTTTTTTGTAGGTTTGAAAGTTGTTTAAATAAAAACTTGGGAGAAAAAATAAACTATAAACAACTATTCTTCCCTGCAGGCCTCATTTTCTTGCTAATTTGGTTAATTTGTTATAACATCAAACTAGTTGATAATGTTAGATATACCTTTAATATTGGATTCAGAAACATTTAAACATTAACTATCAGTAAAGAAGTTTATTTTTCTCTTATTGCTTTATAGGTTTATAGATTGTAAAGTCACAAGGTCAGGAAGTTCTGACTTCCTTCCAGCAGTGGTTATAAGTGACACTTTTTGGCAGGAAAATAACTTCTAGCTGAGTACAGATAGAACTGCAGCATAAAGTTTCTCTACTGCACAGAAGTCATTAATTTTTTTCTGAGTTAACATCACTAAAAGTTCCCCTTAGCTATAGCAGTCTTTTGCATAGCCTTTACATCAAATGGTTTCATCCCAGCTGTATGTGGACTTCATATGTCAGTTGATATTTAATGAGTAATATCTATGCCTTTTTTTTTCCTCATTGGATAAATTTTGGGGAAAAGAGATCTGATTGTCCTAATTTTTTGTGTTTTTTTGTTTTATTTTTGTTTTTTGAGGCGGAATCTTGCTCTGTTGCCCAGGCTGGAGTGCAATGATGCTATCCCGGCTCACTGCAACCTCCACCTCCTGGGTTCAGGTGATTCTCCTGCTTCAGCCTTCTGATTAGCTGGGATTACAGGCACCACCACCATGCCTGGCTAATTTTTGTATTTTCTAGAGATGTCATTTCACCATGTTGGCCAGGCTGGTCTCAAACTCCTGACCTCAGGTGATCTGCCTGCCTCGGCCTCCCAACGTGCTGGAATTACAGGCATGAGACACTGCCTGGCTGTAATTGTCCTGTTTTTTTCTGATTGTCCTAATTATTATTAAGCCATTATAATCTATTTTGTCTCTCTAGACCAGGGTATTTAAATTACTTCAGAACCAAATTCAACAACAAACTTGGACTGATGAGGGCACTCCATCTATGCGAGAGCTTCGGTCAGCCCTGCTGGAGTTTGCCTGCACCCACAACCTGGGGAACTGCTCCGCTACTGCCATGAAACTGTTTGATGACTGGATGGCATCCAATGGAACTCAAAGGTGAAGTATATCTCTACTTAGATGAATTATCTTCTTTTTCTTTATCTCACATCTTACACAGAAACCAGGGTATTCTCATCCTGGGTCAAAAATGTTATAAAACTGAGTGTTAGTGTAGGTGAACTCTATGTATCTGCATTCTCAAAAAAGACTTTTAAAAAAATTATGGTAAAATACACATAACATAAAATTTACCATCTTAACCATTTTTTACTGTACAGTTCAGTAGTGTTAAGTATATTCACATTATTGTGTACTTATTTTCAGAACTTTTACATCTTGCAAAACTGAAACTCTGTACCCATTGAATAATTCCTCACTTCCTCTCTCCACCAGTCCCTGGTAACCACTATTCTACTTCCTGTTTTTGTGAGTTTGACTACACTGTGTATCTCATATAAGTAGAGTCATAGAGAATTTGCTTTTTTGTGACTGGCTTATTTCATTTACCATAATGTCTTCAAGGTTCTTCCATGTTGTAGCATGCATTAAAATTTCTTTCTTTCTTTCTTTTCTTTTTTTTGGAGACGGAGTCTTGCTCTGTCACCCAGGCTGGAGTGCAGTAGTACGATCTCAGCTCACTGCAACCTCCACCTCCTGGGTTCCAGTGATTCTCCTGCCCCAGCCTCTGGAGTAGCTGGGATTATAGGCATCTGCCACCACACCTGGCTAATTTTTGTATATTTAGTAGAAATGAGATTTCACTGTGTTAGCCAGACTGGTCTTGAACTCCTGACCTCAGAAAATCTGCCCGCCTAGGCTTCCCAAAGTGCTGGGATTATAGGCATGAGCCACCACACCTGGCTAAAATTTCTTTCTTTTTAAAGGCTGAATAATTTTCCATTGTATGTATATACCACATTTTGTTTATCCATTCATTCATGGACAGACCTTTGTGTTGCTTGTACCTTTTAGCTATTGTGAATAATAATGCCATGCACATGGGTATGCAAATATCTCCTAGAGACCCTGCTTTCAGTTCTTTTGGGTATGTACCCAGAAGTAGTATTGGTGGATCATATGGCAATTCTAGTTTTAATTTTTTGAGGAACTGCCATATTGTTTTCTACAACAGCTGTACCATTTTATATTCCCAACAACAGTGCACAAGCATTCCAATTTCTCTACATCCTTGCCAGCACTTGCCATTTTCTGGGTTTTTTGATAGCAGCCATCCTAATGGGTGTGAGGTGATAAAAAAGTGTCTTAATTTAGAAATAAAACATGGCAGGTAGAGTTAGCAGTTAATAGAAAAGCTGTTGGTGGTAATTGGTTCTCTCCAGCTCCTTACCATACATTTTGGAGAGAAGATTCAAGCATCAGATGAAGAGTTGGGGTGGAGGATTTGGATAACCTTTTGAGGTCTTTCCAAGCTCTGAGATCTTAATAAAGGCAGTAGTCTATGTTTTCTCCCTGTACCCCATTTACTGCTATATTTCTACCATGAAACTTATCACACTGAATTGTAATGCATGTGTTTATTGCTCTATACTTTGGAATAGCCTGTGAGTTCTCAGAAGACAGAGGCTCTCATTCCTCTTCCGCTCCCTAGTGTCCAGCCTGTTGCCTGCCTAGTTCTTTGTGAGTTCTCAGTGAATGTTAAATTGAACTGATGTATCCATAGTTGCACTACTAGGGAAATAGCAGTCACTGAATTAAACTTTTTCTCGACCCTAATTGTGTACTCAAACTTGTTATTATTACCGACCCTCACACCAGAAACTCCACCACAGCCAACTCTTCGCCTTTGTATTCAGAATATTTTCTTGTTATTCTCATGTTTGACCACCTCTCTTACAGCCTGCCTACTGACGTCATGACAACTGTGTTCAAAGTTGGAGCAAAAACTGACAAAGGCTGGTCTTTCCTTTTGGGCAAATACATTTCTATAGGCTCTGAAGCAGAGAAGAACAAAATACTAGAAGCACTTGCCAGCTCAGAGGATGTGCGGAAGCTTTACTGGTATGAAACCACCCGAGGAATATGATATACAGAAACCAAAAGAATACAAACACCGTGCTCCTGGGTAGGAGCTCATTGTTGAGGGGATCTCCTTTCCTCCCTCTGTTACAGGCCAGGCCTAAGTTGGACAGTGTGCTGAGGAGACCACAGGTGCTGGGCTTTATCTTTATGGACAAGCAGAAAATCCTTTGCCCAAAAGGGATTGCAAGATGTCAGGAGTCACAGCCCCCCTCCTACTCCTTGCTCAAAAAGTCTTCCTCCCCTTGGAGTGTTGTCTTGTACCCCACAATTGGTACTCCATATTTTGGGACCAAAGCATTGCTTTGTGCAAGCTGTCATTTTAAAAATGCAGACATTTCAGAAAAAAATAACATATTAAACCTTCTGGGTTCTATGTTCATATGAATTTATTTGTCAGACTTTTCCTTTTTAATAGGTAGTGATGAAGGCCCAGAAGTAGGAGTGTCATACGGATGAAGGTAGGGCAGCAAGTCAGGCCTCCTGACAGAAAGAACAGGCAGTGGTGGGGTCGAGGAGCTCTACGTAGCCAAGAGGAATATGGAGGTATCTGGTGTAGCGAAAGAGCACAGATGTTAAAAGTCACACTGAGGATAGAAGGAGGCTTCTGGGTCTCATTACTTCTGTTGTATGATTTTGCTCAGACAAATCTTGATAGTGTCCCAGAGATGTCCTCAGTACCTGTCCAGACGCACTTACCAAAAGATACACTGTAAATAGTCATTTTCTTTAAAGTATTAGCCAACCTCTTACTTAACAAATAGAGAAAAATCATTGTTTTTAAACTGTACTAGTAATACACTAATAATGCCCATGATAAAGTATTCAAACAGTACCTAAGAATATAGAGTAAAATATGAAAGCATTTCTCATGATCCTTCACTTCCATTCTCGTTTTCTCTGTTAACAACAGTGTCAGTCCTGGTCTTTGTATTCATCTGTGGGAATAGATATATGTACAGATGTATGTATGTACATACATATATACCTACATATTTAACCTCATTTTAAAAACCACATTAGTTTTATACCATACTCAGTGTTTTGTGACAGTCTTTTTAGTGAATGATCAGTCTATGAGATTTTCCATGTCACTTCATGAAGCCTGCTTTATAAAAAAAGAAAAAAAAAAAACTAAAGTGTTTTTATGGCTTCATAATATTCTGTAGTATGGCTCTATCATAATTTATTTAACCCATCACGTTCTGTTGTGCTTTTGTTTTTTTCCCTCCTAAAAATACTGCCACAGTCTTGGAGTAGGGGGTGGTTTCTCACTGTAAACAGATAGTATAGCATAGTAGATGAGAACTGCTTTCGTTCAGATATCAGGCTTTGGTATTTATTACTGTGTAACTGTGGGTCAATTAGATAACCTCAATTTCTTCAACTATAAAATTGAGTTAGGTAGTATTAATAAATACCTACTTTATAGCATTGTTGTGTCAAGGACTTAGAACATTATTTAGTACATAGTGTCAGTAAATGTTTACTATGAACATTAATAAGAGTATATTCTGAAATGTATCCTAATTTTCAAATAATTCAAATGGCCTAGTTTTTTAAAGAATAGTAGTATAACATACCTGCCCATTCAAATCAAATAAGGTTTTTACCAGAAAAAAATACCCACCTCCCAAATTGTAATAAATTCTACCAGAATGTATTTCCAAAATGTTTTTACTATTTAAAAACTGTTTATTGTCATGTGACAATATAGGTAAATGTCTGTTTCATTGGTGAGTTCTTTCTTGGTTAAAAAAAATGACATTTTCAATCTATAGATCAATCATAGACTAACGCAACAGTTATTTCTTGAGTTGCTACAGAGCTTTAATTAGGAAACCATACTAATTTTAATTTAAGTTCAGTCATCACTTCTTCATGAATAATAATTTTGGAGGCTAAATCTGCTTTGCTCTTCAGGTTAATGAAAAGTAGCCTGAATGGAGATAACATCCGAACACAGAAGCTGTCTTTTATCATTAGAACAGTGGGTCGACATTTTCCTGGACACTTACTGGCATGGGATTTTGTCAAAGAGAACTGGAATAAGCTTGTACAGAAGTAAGTTTCTCAGAGAACTATTAACTTTTAGTATTCTCAAGTTGTGCATTTGAAAAAAGCTCCCAGTGTTGTGTTGGCTCACAGAAGTTAGGATTTTCTGTGAGAGGAAAAATACTTCCATGACAGTTTAATTGAAACATCCGGAAATTTTCACATTTGTTAACATAATTCCATAGCATGAATCATTTAACAGTAGCATTCCATCTAAGTTCTAATTAAGGCTAGCCTTGCTTGGCACCAGGTTACTTAGCTCAGCATGGCTACAGACCATTTCACAGCAACCATTTAGCTATGCATATTGAAAAATACCTCTTGAAAAAACGAGATGCATTGCCAAGGCATCAGTTAAGAACTCACATTCAGCTAGATGCAGATGTAGGTTTTTTGCTTCTTTTAAATCCATAACGGCATTTCTGGGTGTACAGTGTGATCTTTGACGATATTAAGCGGATTAATAATTTGTCTACATGTTCCGAACTCTTCCCTTTTTCTGCCCACCTTTCTTTCCCGCTGGCAATAAGTATGCATAGGGCAACCCCGGTTTCCTCAGCTGTGGTTCCGGAAGGAGGATTCCACTCTGTCTTTGGCATTAAAGACTCCTTTGCACTCAGGAACAATGTTTTACCAGCAGCTGCCAAATTTTTTTGCTCTTGTTTTTGTGTTTCTTCAGGTTCCATCTGGGGTCCTATACCATACAAAGTATTGTTGCTGGATCAACTTACCTGTTTTCAACAAAGGCACATTTATCTGAGGTTGGTTTTATAAAATGCTAATACAGAGACTGGGCAACCCTCCACACACCCCGGGCAGGCTGCTCAGTTTAAGGGAGATGGTGGATTTTTGTGCTAATTCCTGTCTCTTGTCTCTGTCTTCCTTAATCAGTACTAATGATTCAGCATTGTGATTACTTCTAGAGTGTGGCATATATGATAATGATGATTCAGCATTGTGATTACTTCTAGAGGGTGGCATATATGATAATGAGGAAAAATTCTGATTCCATTCTCTTCCCTTGTCTCCCTAATATAAATAATTTAAGGGGTCATAAAATTGTTCGGAAGAATTGCATTCTTAGGGTGAATTCGTAGCACCAAGCCTTTGGACTCTACCTTATTTATTGTTACTTAAACATCTCCTCAGTTCCATTTTAAGTTAGAAAAATGTATCCATGTGGGAGTAAAAATATTTCCTTTTTAAAATTATTTCAGATATCACCATATTGATTGGGAACTCCATGTAGATACCTTGAATATTAAAGTACTTCTTTCTACTGCTTTCAAGATAGCAGCATAGCCATCACTAAGTTAAAGTTTATTTTAAAAGCTGGAGTTACCTAAGGTTTATTGTCCTTCTTTTGAAATTCTTCTGTGTGGAACTTACAGGTTCAGGCATTCTTTGAAAATCAGTCAGAGGCAACCTTCCGGCTTCGTTGTGTCCAGGAGGCTTTGGAAGTCATTCAGTTGAATATCCAGTGGATGGAGAAGAACCTCAAAAGTCTCACATGGTGGCTGTAGCATGCACAACCGCACCTCATTTTGTCGCCCATTCAGAGAGCTTGTAAGCTTGGGCTCTGCTGCTTTTTCAAAAGCCAAGGTAAAGCCAGGATCGCTGCCAAGTTGTTTGCACTCTTAGGAGTTCTAGTTAGCTCAGGGCCTGACTGTATTTTTCATCCGTCTTTTCTGAAATGTCTTTGGGCAGTATGTAGTTATTTATTATAAAATTATATTCACCTAAATGCCAACCATCTACAAAAACAATGAGTAATTTTTCTACTTTGAAGATACACAAATGGGGGAAAAAAACCCTGTTTTGGAATTCTGTTCTATTCCTCAGTATACAGAAAGTTACTGACACAGTAAAACAAGGAAAGTTCTACCCTAAGAGCCACCATCACTGCAGGCTGCTGATTTGTCAGCCATCTGTTACTTCTTATTGATAGATGGTATTGGAATGTGGTACAAAGTTAGCTCTGAAGAATATGATAATGAAGACAATAAAGCATGCACTGTAAGAACTGACCTCAGGTGTGCAAATCTACTTTGATTTGGGGTTTTGATTAATTCTTTATTTTTCTGAAAAAAAGTTTAAATAATGTCTGTAACTATTGTGTTTTTTTTTCTGCAGAATAGCCAGGTGCTACAGATTTTTTAAATTTTTGTTGTATTGAAAAGCTAAACAAGGCCAAAAGGTTAAATGTTTTGAATATTTAAGGCTTTCTTTTTCATCTTTTATAACGTTACCATAGAAAACTGTTCCAAACTGAGTTAACTTTAATTATAATTATTTCATTCATATATGGTGATAGTCCCCAAATCTGTACACCTTTATCACTCCCTGCCATAGATATACTTTAGGTTAGTATTTCTGCATTCGTGGCAAGCATTTTGCTAACACCAGTGTTTTTCATTGTGACTTTTATCACTATTACTAAGAATGCAATTTAAGTTGCCTTTTGGCATCGTAGATCATAGAAACTTTCTCTCTGAATCATACCCATGTGTGAATTTTCATTTTATATGATAGTGTAGCATATTATAAGCATATTTTAAAACAGGGCCTTTGAGAAATTGAAAAAAAAATTATTTGAAGTTCACCATAGTACCTTAAAGGAACAAAGAGAATGTGGGATAGGAGTAACTTGAATTCGTGTTTAGTATGGTGGGCTTTGAATTTTTTTCACTATCAGAAATCGTGCTTTTGTTTAGTTAAAAATTATAGTTTTTCTTTTTTGTGTGTCCAAACTAGCATAAAAGGAGTGGTCAAAGAAGGAAAGAAAGAAAAATGAGGGAGGATGTCCAAAGCTGTATGGCATTTTACTCTTTCTGAAAGAGAAATACTGTACTTGAATTTTTGAGCTATGCAGACTTATACCTAGATTGTTGTGTTTCTTTGATTCTTAGGAGAAAAGCTGTCTTCCTAATAACTCTTGAGAACTTTATATGTTTGAAAACAGTTTCTATGTACATAAAAAGGGTAGTTACCCATTTGTGAGCACTTAAAACACTCCACAGAGTCAGACAGTGGGAAAGGTCACCTTTTTTTATTCAGCAGGTATAAAGTTAGAATGTATGGAATTGTGAATAAAATTATATTTTATTTTATGAAAATATTTTTATATAATAAAATTTAAAAGGCTGGTAAGCTAAAAAAATAGTCGTCTTTAATCCTAGTGTGTTTTCCCCAATTTAGTCTTTTCTAAACCTTATCTGTTTTAGAGTAGAAAATATTATATCCTGAGAATCACAGAATCATCTAAGTATGTCTTATTCAACTGAGGTGATTGTAAGTCTTTATTCTTGTGCTTTCGTTAAATAAATGATAATTTAGTTGATAGTGAAAGTTAATGTGTTTTTATATTTTTGGAGTGAGGGAAAAATACTAAACTTTTGAGAGTTTTGTTGTTGTTGCTGGTTTTTTACCATGTTGTACTAAATTCCACTTTGATACAAAATTTAAATTTTGTAACTTCTCAAAATCAGTTAAGATTCTTCAGTTTTACCTGTGCTTCTTGACATCGCTCCTGTAATGTATGTTAGTTAACTCTGCATATGGCAAATCTTGTCTTGAATTATGTCATTTCTCTCCCTCTCTCTGTCTGTCTCTGTCTCTCTCTCTTTCTCTCTCTCTCTGTCTCTCTCTGTGTGTGTGTGTGTGTGTGTGGTGTGGGGGGTATTGTTATGAGTAAAACCTTATCAAAACTTGGCCTAAAAAAGAGATAACTCATGATCCATTGCTATCTTTATTACTCAAAGGCTGTTCATTCCCATGATACCAGATTCATAGTAGTTGTAGGTTTTTGTTGTTGTTGCCCTTAACTTAATTACTTATAGTTTTAGTAGGCCTTGCCTCAGTTTTTCCCACAGAATTCCATAATTTTAATGTTGAACTAACCCATCTATCTAGGACTTCTAAAAACTACATCAGGAAGGTGAGGTTAAATGAGAGGTAGAACTTGTGGTGTGATAGGTATAATGGTAGCTTTCAAAGTTTTATCTTCTCAAAACATTGTCTTAGCCACTGTATTTCTGAGAACTCAGACTGAAGCACAGAAGTCACAGTATGCTTCTTTTATTTAAGCACACAGATTCATGACACAAGTACTTGTTGAACAAGTGTTCTCATTGCAGAGAGGTCTACTTGAATATAAAAGGGACATCATACTAGATTATTTTAAAAAAGAGAATTGGAAATCTAGAATTGTGGAAGAAATATTTATGCTTTGGAGATCTAAAAAGTTATGAATGTAGGAATTGGATGAGTCCAGTTTGTTCTGTTAATATAAAATGGTTAGATATACTAAACTGCAAGTAGTATCAGCTTCACCATAAGCTTGGGCCTTCCTCCATCCTGTTTTATTTAAGTCTCTTTAAATGAAATTTTGTTGTCATTGTTTCAGCGTTCATGAACTTTCTTAGTATCACAGGTTCTACTTTAATTTTCTTTGCCATATGTGTTTCCATTTTATGGGACATTAGCCACCATAGGAACAGAAGAGTTGTCAGAAGACTCCTGGGTATAGTGAGCAAATCAAGCTGCATCAGTATTATAGGGTACCAAACAGAATCCTTTCTATCAGGAAATAAGAAATCAATTAAATGTTGGCTGGGTGCGGTGGCTCACGCCTGTAATCCCAGCATTTTGGGATGCCAAGGTGGGAGGACCATTTGAAGCCAGGAGTTCTAGACCAGCCTGGCCAACATGGCAAAAGCCCATCTCTACTAAATTATAAAAATTAGCTGGGCGTGGTGGTGCACACCTGTAATCCCAGCTACTTGGTAGGCACGAGAATCGCTTGAACCCAGGAGGTAGAGGGTGCAGTGAGCCAAGGTTATGCCGCTGCACTCCAGCCTGGTTGACAGAGTGAGACTGTCTCAAAAAAAAAAAAGAGTTAAGTGTTGATTTTGTTGGATTACTGACAGCTTGTTGAGGTGGATTTTAAAAAGAGTCTGTTCAAACCAAAGTACCTGGAACCATAATCTGCCATCAGATTGCTAAACATTCACATAATCCCCATGTTTCACAGGGCTACAGGGAAGGCAAATACATCTCAGGTGAGCCACTTCCAAGGAGAGCAGTTCCTGGGCTGCAAAACTAGATCTGGATTTTGTTACTTGGGCCTCTCTAAAAACCGAGGTCATGGATATGACGTAGCTTTTCTTCTCACCTTTGCCATTGTTACTTTTGTATTTATGGGAATTAAATCTCTTTTTAAAGAGCTTCCTTCCCCCTTTACCCCATTTGTATTTTTTAAAACTAAGGTATATATATTTGCTTGTTTTTGCATTCTTTTATTTTGTGCTCCATTCCCTGCTTTGCCAAGTAAGTACCACATAAAAGTGGAGGTGCAAAAGTATGGTAAATCTCCTCCCTTAACCTTATTGCCTGCGTGGGTGATAGCTAATAGAAAAGTTGATGGATTTTTCTCAGTGGTTTTTTTGGGAGTATATACTTTTAAAATGTACATATATGTTTTTGATAGTTTTTGCATTATTTCATTTTGTATATTTTTTTCCTAATGAAGAGTGATATATCATCCTATGAAAATTTCATCTACCCTTCCCATGTTACCTATATGGGCAATAGCTACAGACTAGTTATTTGGTTTCCTTCTTTGGAAGAAGGTGGTAATGTTGAGAGGAGAGCAGGGTATGTTCTTTTAAAAGTGTGTACAGATGTTTTTGCTATTTTGTGTTATTTCATTTTGTATTTCATTCATCCATTTTGTGGACGTGTAGCTAAAACGTGGTGGTCCAAAAGCATGACAGATGTTCCCTTTGCCTTTATCCTTATTGTTCGCATGGACAGTAACAAACAGAGCAGTCCTAGTTGCTGTTGTTTTGATCTAGTCTTGGGGGCTGGGGTTGTATATTCTTTCAAGTGTGTATAAATATTATGCCACCTTTTTATACTTCATTTTATACTTGTTTCCTTGTATGGATGCATATATAATGAAAACTGAGGTTCAGAGTATGACAAATCTCCTCTTTTCCCTTTTCCTTATTGCCTATTTAGGCAGTAGCTAATAGAGTAGTTTGTTTTGTTTTGGGGTGTGGGAGAGAGTGGAGTATGCACTTAATGTATATAAATATACTTGCTACTACATTGTATTACTAATTTAGTTCACACTGTGTCCTCATGGACATGAAAGTACCAATGAAATGTGGAGATCTCGATGTGTAACAGTCTCCCATTCTCCTCATCACTTATTGACTACTGGGAAGCAGCTAACAGAGTAGTTGTCAATGGAGTATTTGAGGTGAACGGGAGCGATGGGGAAGGTAGGAAAATGCACTTAATGTATATACTTGTTTTTACTACTACATTGTATTAATTCATCGGGTGCCCAGACTGAATGGTACCTAATGAACCATGGAGTTCCAGATGTATAACAGTCTCCTCTTTTCCCTTTCCCTTATTGCCTATGTGGGCAATACTTAGAGTAGTTTGGGTTTATTGAAGATTTTTTGCTAGGAGAGAGAAAATGGTTTCAGGGTAAAAGTATATACTTTAAACGTGTATATAAATGTTTTTGCTACTTTTCTGTCACTACCTTTCTTACCTTGTCCTTTACATGGATATGTGAAGAAAATTGAGGTTCAGCCTGTAACAACTCTCCTCTTGTCCCCTTCCCTTAGATTGCCTGTGTGGGCAGGTGTCTAAGAGAGTAGTTGATTAGCTTCAGGGATTCTTCTGTGGGTATTGGGGTATATACTTTTGTATATGTATGTACATATTTTTACTTCTTTATTATAGTGTTTCGTTGGGTACCCGGTCCTTCACTTGGACGTGTAGGTTCCTAATGAGCTGTGGAGTTATGGATGTATAACAGTCTCTTCTCCCTTAACCCTTTTTATGTATATGGGCAATAATTTTAAAGTAGCTTGGATTTTTTGAGGTTTTGAGGGGCGGGAGGGATCTAAGGGCAGATTATATACTTTTTAAAAATGTATATATACTTTTCATTACTATATTGTATTATTTCATGCTGTACCCAGTCCATTGCTTGGACTTACAGGTACCTAATGAAACGTGGAGGTCCGGATGTATGAAAATCTCCTCTTTTCCCCTTTCCTTATTGCCTCTGTGGGCAATAATTATAGAGTAGTATAGATGGTTTTTCTTTTTTACTCTATCTCCCTATCTCCAGGAGGGTGGGGTGTGCACTTTTAGAAATGTATATAAATGTTCTTGCTTCTTTTTCCTGTTACTTCATTGTGTGCCAAGGCCTTTCCATGGATACTTAGGTACGTAATGAAAATTGAGGTTCATTCTATGAAAAAATCTCCCCTTCTCCCTTTCCCTTATTGCCTGTTTTGGCAATGACTAGTAGAGTAGTTTAACGGATTTATTTTTTTGGTGGGGGGAGGTGGGGGAATTTCTGGGTGTGTCTTTTTTTTAATGTATATAAAAGTTTGCTAGTTGTTGTTGTTGTTGTTGTTCTTTCACTCTCAACACAGTTTTTTGTTTAGAGTTGTAGGAATCAAATGTAATGAGGGACCCAGACCCAGGAGTGTGGTAAATATTCTTTCCCTTCCTCAGAGCCTGTGTATGCAAGCAAATAGTATATGAGCACTACAGGGCTTGGGTTTTGGTTTTTTGCTTTTGAGGGTGTTAATGAGGAGTGACATTGTGAGAGGAAAAGGCAAGATATATAATTTTTTAATGTATATAAATGTTTTGCCCCTTTTTGGTGTTAACTTCATTTTGAATCTGGTCCTTTGTATGACCACTTAGGTACTTAATAGTAATAAAGTTGAGATTAACTCTATGAAAAATATCCCATACTCCCCATCCCTCATTGCCTAGGGGGCAATGGTAGAATAGATGTTTGGTTTCTTTTGGGGGGTGTCTGGGGTATGTGTGTGTGTGTGTGTGTGTGTGTGTATACACACACAAGAACACACATATTTATATACTATACACACACATTTTAATGTATATAAATATTTGCTACATTCTGTGTTATATAATGTGGTACCCAGTCCTCTGCTGGGACATGTATGTATATAATGAAACATGGAGGTCCAGATGTATGATAACTCTCCTCTGTTTCCCTTCCCTCATTGCCTGCAGGGGCAATAGTTTCATATCTTGGGTTTTTTATTGTTTAATTTTTTTTGTGGGGAGGGGTTCTTTGGGTGGGTAATAGGGGAAAGGACAGTGTCTATACTTTTTAAAGATGTATATAAATGTTTTCATGTTATTGGTTTTGTACCTAGTCCTTTGCATGGATATATAGGTACCTAATGAAAATCGAGGATCAGTGTATGACAAATCTCCCATCCTCCCCTTTCCTTATTGCCTGTGTCGGCAATAGCAAGTAGAATAGCTGTGTGTTGTTTACTTACTTGTCTGTTTTGGAGAGATTTCTATTTTTGGTAGGGGAATATTCTTAATAAGTATAAATATGTTTTCATATCTTTATTTCATTTTGTAGTCTTTTGCATGGCTATGTAGGGACCTAATGAAGTTAAGTTTCATAATATGACACCTCACTTCTTCTTTTCCTACATATGTGGTTATTTTATTTCATTCTCTAGGATCTATTCCATTAAGGATACAAGTATATAGATGCACATACATCGTTTGCTTCTTTTTTCCCCCATTATTTTCCTTTAGCACTAAGTCCCTTGCAAGGGATCTGACTGTACCTAACAAAAATAAAGACCTACTAAATCCCTGCCATCTGGCTGGAAGGTGTAGCAGTGTAGTGATGTAACTAATGGCAACAAGTGTGCAGCAGATAAAACAGGCTCGGCTATGGTTGAGTTGTGAAAGCTAATTAGATCCAGCATTTCTTATGTTGATTCAAATTGAATGAGATAGTGAAAAGGGACCTGTGCTTTTGTAAATTCTAGAAAGGCAAGAGGACAGTATTGAATAAAGGTGTGTTTAAACTTCATTGCTCGTATATCTTTTAGTAACTGGTAAACCGGCAAAGCTGATGAGCCAATAAGAGTGCTGTCTAGAACTCACTTGCAAACCCTTAAGAGTAGCTTCTTTTTGAGGGCTGGACTTCTAGTTCATCTGTAGAAGTCTATTATGATTCCATCAATTGCATAGCTTGTGTACCTGGTAGAAATTGTTTGTTGGAGTGACCCTTTTGAGTTATTGACATGGCTCCGATGAATAGAACATGAGCCCCAAAACTAAATCCAAAAGGAATTTTCTATCTTTCGTCCCCCACATGTGGCAAGACAAGTTAGCCCTTTCCTACCCAGAGTTCTTTTGTGTGACTGCATCTTTCTCCTCTGTTCTCCATTGTGTGCTTTCCTTTTTGTCTTTAGTGCCTACACTGTTAGGTGTTTTCTTCACTGGCATTCACAAATTTAAGCCATTGCTGCCTCATTAGCCTTGTATTTTGTGTGCATATCATGTATGCAGAACTGTATGTTCACTTTAAGCATTCTTACATCACACTGTCTCTTCATCTACCATATGGTAAATGTTAAAACTCCACATTTGTCTGCATCAGAGAAAATGCATGTGCACACATCCTCCCTCCCTCCCTCTCTGCTCTCTTCCCTTCCTTCAAGTCTCTTAGCATTGTTTGTTTTCCCATTTCTGATACTGCTACTCCATGCTGAAGATTTGCCATATTACTATTTTGGAAATATTGAATGATAGAACTCCTAGAAAATTTTCAAAGAAATGTTATATACTGTATATCAAACTCTCAGGTTCTAGTGTTGAAAAAGCCTATACTTTACTATTACTTATACCTGCTGCCATAGTAAAAACTAAGTTTATTCATGACACATTTAAATTTGATCATAAATAAAAGAAAAAAGGGCACCTTTTTCGGAGTTAGTCATGGTAGTCATTAGTGATATTTCTGAACAGTTCTTAACTTAAAATACTTCAAAGGAAGTAAAGGTCA